CGGCGCGTTTGGCGAGGCTCGTGGCGTGACGTTGCTGTCCGCTCGCATCTTCTCTTTTGCGGGGCGACGTCGCCAATGCCCCAAGAAGGACCGACGGGCCCACATAACGAAAAAATGCGCTTGTATTTCGTCGGCGAAAAAAACGTATCCGTGCCTCTGGGCCGGATCTCGCGGCCTCGCAGTTTCGCGGCCAGGTCGTCCGAATCTCGCGGCCTCGCAGGCCAGTTGGCCGCGATCCGGTGGATACGGGGCGTTTTTTTTGCGGGACGTACCCGTTCGACCGCGTATCCGCGGGATCGCGCCCTGGAATCCAGACCGCGAGGGCGCGGATACGGATAGGAGACGAGCCCCCACGTAACGTTATTGTTTTTTTCAGGACACGCCTCTGCAATAATGGGCATGTTTCGGCGTATTGGTGGCCAAACCTATACGGGGCGTGCCGACATGACATAACCGGCGAGTCAGTAGAACGCCAAATACATCACACAGTAACGCACAGTTGACGCAGACAAGCAGCGCGAAGATTTTCGTAATTCATATAATCAGCATCGCACAACGATCAGGAACGTTCCTGGCTGAGTCGTGCTAGTCTAGAAAGATTCCGAAAACGCGGATGAACGTTGCAGCGGGATGCGTTCGCTTCTCGTGAGTATTGTCCAGACGTAAGACTGACCTCTCGCTGGAGTGACCTCTGGTTCGGGCCCACTAGGGTCCCCCGATCGCTAAATGCGCGGCGGTTGCAGCGGCATGCGTGCTGGGGTTTGACCACCCCGCGTCCTCCGTTGCGCCGCGCACCAGAGGTCACTCTTGCTTACGGTCGGTTCGCGTCGTGTCGACCGGCGACGACCCCGCAGTCGGTCGATGTTAAACGATGGGCCGACCGTTCCAGGTTGAACGATCCCCGCAGTGTCAGAAACCAACGCCAGTGTCACGACACGAACTTGCCGTAGGTTCATCCTTGCTCGGGTATAGCCAGGACCCCGGGTAAGGGGACCTCGTTAGTGGTAGGGCCCCGAAGCCCCTAAACTGGCCAGAATCACTAAACCAGATCTGCCTGCCGTAGCTGGTGTTTTTTCGGGTGACGGCAGTTCCGGTAAGTGGAACGGGGCGGGGGGGGCGTCCCCCAGTACAAATCTTTAAACCAGGTCCCACTAAACCCAGTTCTGCCAACGCCCGACTTGCGTGCAGTCGAGAGAACCTCCAGGTCGGCGGCAACACGACTCCGAGGCGGCCTCCACTGGAGGCCTTGGGCGACATGCTTGCCCTCCCCCCCCCGCCGCGGTCGCAGAGCACCTCCGCGCCAGCATGCGGCCGAGGCGAGGAGGAGGCGAGCGGCACGATCGTGCGCACCCAGAGGAGGAAGAGAATAAGGAGAAGGAGGAGGAGGAGGAGGAAGATGAGGCGGCTACGCCCAAAGAGGAGGAGGAGGAGGAGGAGGAGAGTAAGAGGAGGAGGAGGAGGAGGAGGAGGAGGAGGAGGAGGAGGAGGAGGAGGAGTCAGCCACGCGCATAGAAGGGGTAGGGGGAGGGGGAAAGCTTTTCAGATTGGCGGCGAGCAAGGGGGGAAGTAAGAAGGAAAAAGTCATCTCAGAAGGCTCGGAAGCCCCCCAGTCTTCTGAGATATGTTCTAGGCCTTCTTTGGAGACGCGAAAGACCTCTCAGAAGGCGCGAGGGTTTCTGAGAAGTCCCGCCGCCTTCAGAGAAGGTTTTCTCCTTCTCACTTCCCCCACTCGCTTGCCGCCGATTAGCAGCAGCCTCCTTCCAAGAAGCCTCACCCCCATCCCCCATACCCCTCTGTTCGCACCGCCAAAGGAGGAAGGGTCGGGGAACAAAGCAGAACATGAACATGAACTTTTGGAGGTCCTCGCGGATTTCCCGGATCGGCGCTGGAGTCTCCAGCGGCGCCTTTGGCGCCGCCCTTGGCGCGATCCGCGCGCAAGGGATGGGGGCCCAGCGCCGATCCAAGAGATCCGTGCGGACCTCCCGAAAATTATGTTGATGGGCCCAGAGGCCCTTGTTTGTCAGGAGGAGAAAAACACACAGACATAATGAATCGTCGATTCCCCAGGACATGGGAAAATATGGGCAGTGGGGGGGGAAGACAGAAACCGAGAGAATATGGGAAAATATGGGGAATCCTTGTACTTGTGTGTCCCAGGGCCTCTTTCAGTCTGGCATTCCAGAAGAGCTGCCTCCACGCCGAATCGTCGGGCGGGGTTTCGCACGGGAGCGGGCGTTGGCCTTCCCCTCGATGGTCCCCGGGACACGTGTTGGCCCAATGTGGGGGCGCAGCGCTACGGCTCGATGTCTGATACGTGCCCCTCTTCGTTATGGGTTACATCCAGGACCGACGAGGTCTGCGGATTTCCGTCTGTGGCCACGCCGGAGCATAGGCGTTGGATGGGCCTTGCATCGCTTGTCTCCTTGCCTCAGCCTTGCTTTCTACCTGTGGGAACTTTACCCGCGTCCGCATGTGCGCCGCCAGCTCAAATTCGTGTTAGCACAGTGTGTGCGCGTGTGCGTGTGTGTGTGTTACCCTGTTGAGTTGAACCGATCGAACGCAGCCAGTGCCAGTCCTCATTGCACCGCCTGCGTCGAATTTGAGTACCTCGACCTGGAAAAGCGCACGCTGGTGCGGCACATGTTCTGGAGATTGCTGATCGCTGGTGTGCAGGACAGGGGTCCTGTGTGAAACGGAGCCTACACCCCAGTGCTCGAGCTAATTTGTGTTTGGCGATTTCGTAGACAGATTTCGTTTTCATGTCGTTTCGCAGCAAAGGCAAATCGAAGATAGAACGAAGAAGAACGAAAACACATGAACACGAACACCAGTCGTCTTTTAACGGTCTCGGGGGTCGTGGAGGGCCTTAGGAGGTCCGAAAACGGCGCAACGCTTCCAGGACCCCTTTCCTTCAGGGCTGCTTCTTTAATGCTGAACGTGGTTCCTATTGTTGCTGCTCCTCCAGCTTTGTCGACGCTGCGCGAACTCAAGCCAGTGAGCTATTACGTTCGTTGGTACGGAAAGAAGCGTTGTCGGCTTAGGCGCAGCACGACATTTTATGCGTGGTCAGCGCAGCATGAGAAGCACTTGTTGAGACACAAGCTTAAGTAATGTTAGCCCAATGGCGAGGGTATGCGCAGACCACGCGTTGCAGCTGGGGGTGAGGAGACAGAAATAATAAAGCAACAATACTTAACCGAGACGAGGAGGCATCGAACGAAGATATTGTCACAATGATCATGCTTAGTAGCAAGGTTAGGCAAGTATGCCAGCGACAAGTTGCACACTGAGGCCTAGACCTGGGTACGCTGAGTACTCTCCAGTGCTCAGACTCGAAGTAACAGCACAGAAGCGCGCTGGTCGTCCTATCTGTTCCCAGTGCTGGTAAAGCAAATCCCCAGCCGATCATAGTAAAGAGGCTTGCAGAGAAACAAAGAAATAGGTGAGTTGCGTGGCAACGCACACAATAGAAGTGGCGAAGTTTAACATAGATGAGTGTGGCACTGCAGGCTATGTGTCTATGCAAATGCGATGCTGTAGGTATTAACTGGTGCCGAGGTAAGTCGTCCACAGTAGGGTAGCCTGTACAGGCCCAACCCCCCTTACAGTTGAGCGGCTGGGCTGTAGCTGCGAGGGTTGGGTCGGCTGGCCAGATCGGTACTGGCTAGCCTTAAATAGGCTTTGTCTCTCGAAGCTGCGTGATGTGAGTCTCAGTAGGTAGACCAGGTCGGCACTGGCTGGCCTGTTGTGGACTGTTGCGAATTCGAAACTTATTATAGTTGCGAAGGGTGCACTTACAACTGAAGAGCATGACGCATGTAGCTGGCTCGCCTCTTTGTAAGACCTTGTGGGAAACACACGCTCAGATGGTGGGCCTCACCCTGTCAAACAGGGAGGCCCGATATCAAGTATGTCGAGGCCATCTCCCTCCAAAGAACCACCCATCCCCACCCACCCATGACGTCAGGGAGCGAGCCCAGAACTCGAGAGCAGAGTCAGCGATTGCCCAGAGTTCAGTAAGGACGTACCGGCTGGTGTAAACGAAGTTGCAGAGTAGGTGCACCAAGATGTGTTGCGTATTCATTGCAATTCTTGGGTTGCTAGCCATTTTTCTGTACGTCCTCCATCTCCACCACCATCAAGCCCCCATCCATCCTAAGCTCCACCCCCCCCTCGACCTGAACTACGCTGAAGAACAGTACCGAGGCTGGCGCATACCAAGTGGCTGGCCGAAGTTGATGGCAGTGTTTAGCTAAAGTTAAATCTAGCAAGCGATAACAATTGCAATTGAGTGTTAGGCTTGCGCGGGCAGTAATGGCTGGCCTAGTATGGGAAGTGAGATGTCCCGAGTTGTACTTGGACGCAGCTGAGTTTGAGTTGGTAGGGCCGCTCCCTTTTAATGAGGGGGCCATTGTGCTGTTGTGCTTGACCCCCATCCCCAATCCCTAGGATCCCCATCCAAACCCATCCTGTAGGATAGAGAGTCCTTGACTCGTGACTGCAATTGTCAAAGACATGGCAAGAAAGGTAGCGCATTGATGTACCAAGGTCTTGCTGCAATTCTGGGGCGGCAACCCAGGGTGTGTGGGCGCACGGTACGGAGACCCCCGTGTTTTTTGCAGTCTTGTAAGGAGCAGAGGGAAATGCATAGCGGTACATTGGGAGAGTGCGCGTTCCGTAGAGGTTTGTCGTTGGCATGCAGACATGTCGTGATGATGATGTTGTTGTTGGTGAGAATGGAATTAATAATGATGTTGTTGTTCATGCTGGTGATGGTGATCAAGCAATGATGGTGATTGTGTTGATCAACATGATGTTGATGATGGTAATGATGGTGGTGATGATAATGGTGGTGGTGATGTTGATGCTGATGATGATGAAATATGTCGATGGCGATGCCGATGTCGATGACGCAATCGTCATCGCGGCCTCTTCAGCTCATGATGCTGCCCCTCCGCCGGGCCGCCCGGTCTCAGCCCCCCCGCGCGGCGTGGCGGCAGGAGTAAACGTTTCTTTGGAGTGGGACGCGTCCGCGGACGTCTCCGAAAGGAAGGTGGCCATGGACGGCGACCCGACCAAGATGGGGCGCGCGCTCAGGCCCTCGTGCCGCCAAAGTCACTGCTGCTCCTTCTCCCGGCACAGCTAAGACGCTGAAACGAGGAACAGTTTGGATTCGGAAGGGGCTCGATGTTCCGTACGTCCTTCCGTGGCTGTTCCTCTAGCAGTTCTCGTGCACCCAGGCTTTTTTGAAGCCGCGGAGGGGCTTCGTTCCTTATGTAGCGTTCCTTATTTCAGCAGCCCGACTGTAAGTCTTCTACTTTACGTCCGTATAAGCGTGGGGGTGCCCCCCCCCCGACGGGGGGTCAACCTGGCCGCGCCCGTGGGCAGAAGGTCTGGTGTCGGCGGCGGGTGGCGCGGGCCGATTGTGGTCGACGCTGTGCGGCAACGTTTGCCTGCGACACGGGTCGAACTAAGGCTGTCGGCGAGGGTTACGCCGCCCCCGCGCTTATCATCGAAAACCCGTAGTCAGAGGCAAGTCTGTGTTACCCCAGTGGTTCCAAGAGGCTACAGAAGGCTGGACCCAGCTTTGCCTCAGAGATTGATCCGTCGGCATCGCCGCACCACGCAGCTGGAAAACCGAAATGGTCCTCTCCTGTACGCTGTTGGGCGTTCTGGATCGGGGACGTCGGTTTCCGATCCGCCGTCTCGAGCCAACGTGAAATTTCGTCAAACTAGCACTTTGTCGATGTAGCCTGTCGGGAATAGCCGCTCTAGGGGCTATCCTCGCCAGGTGTTCCTAGCCAGGTGGCATAGATAGGGTCAGTCAAGCGCCCACGCGAATCAACAAAACGCATGCAGTGCCGTTTTTAATGCCCGCTCCGCGTGCGGATCATGCATTAACAATGCAGGGATTTAGTATCAACAACATCGATGAGTTCATGCATATATTTATTCATCATGTATCACAAATCCGATATGCTTAAAAATCCTTGTATTAACACTGGCCTGTACATGGCATTGGCTGTGGGCCCAGCGGCTAGTGGACCGCAGCGGCACGTATGTGTGCGTCGTCCCCCCTTCCCCCCCTGGGGACGACACGCGCGCTCGGAGGTCCTCTGGCACATCTTCGCTCGCTGGCGCTTGCTGCACAGAGCCACCGCCTGGGCCGCCGGGGTAACGATGTATACTATGATGTTCAGGAGGGGAAAAACACAGACACAATGAGTCGTCGAGTCCCAAGGAAAATATGGGGAAAATATGGGAAGTGGGGGGGAAGACAAACACCGAGAAAAGATGGGAACAGATGGGGAATAGTTCTATTTGTGTGTATTTATGTGTGTGTGTGTCCTTGGGCCCCTTCAGATGTTTGTAAAACATGTTCGCTTCGGGCGTGCTCCTCCAGGGGGGCGCACACTGATAGTACGTGTGTCTGCGCCCCATAGTCAGGGGCGAATGGAGGACGCACACGTCCACGAATCGACGTTGTTTGTGGTGTGCTTCTGGTATGTTCCGTCGGCAAGGGCCTCACATGCTTGTAAGAATGTTCCTCTGGCTTGTGTCCGACTGTACATGCTTCGGCGCGTACGTGTTCTTGGCATCGCTCGGACGTGTGCATTCTTCCTTCGGCGAGGACCATCGAGGAAAATATTTGATCACTTGCCGAAAAAACCACGCTCGACACCGAAAAAAAACACAGGGAATGGACGCCCGAGCGATGGCCAGTGTTGGCTCCCTGCACGGTGCCTCGATGCGCAGCCGCAGACCTCCTGGCCCAAGCCTCGAGCGGGCGCTCGCGCACAGCTGGCACGGCCCGCGGCCGCTTGCCCGGGACGCCGAAGGGCGACCGGTGTTTTGCGTGGCGAATTGTTTGCCCTTCTTCGAGGAAGTCCGGGGCAACGATAGGGGTCGGGCCGAACGAAAGGGTGGGATAGGGAAAGGGGGGGTTACGAAATTTGCTGCATGCAGCTTGTTTCGGTCCCACCGAGGGGCCAATTCCTCGGTAAATAGCCGCCTCCGGCGCCAGGAGGCGCCGGGAAAATCAGCTACGTACGTGAGCTGATTCTCAAACGCCCCCTTTGCTATCCCCCCCTTTCGCCCGACCCGAAGGGGGGAGGAGACATACCCAGACCCCCTCGGGTCAGGGAAGCATCACGTCGGAGAGCTTTCTACAATGTTGGGCTCCTGGTGGCCCTGAACGGGCCTCTGGACCGTCAAGAAGCGGCTCAGGATGAAAATCGATCTTGGGAAAGAAGTGCAGACTTCTGGGGGTTGACGTCGTGAAAAAATCATGACATCGGAGGTCTGTGCAGGGGGGGATGCATCGAGCCCCAATCGTCCACTGAGCGCCGATAGGGGCCTGATACCATCCCGCACAGGAACGTGCGGATGTGCGATTTGGGTACTAGTGCCGATCTATCGTTGAGGTATCTCCGATTCCAGTTCGACCTCCCCCCCAATGCCAGTCCCCCTCCATCGTTGCCTCTCAGGAGAATCCCAGACCTGCTCGCGTCGCGAAAAAGTCACGACGGAAGCTTTGTCCGCCTTTGGGGGCCCTCGCCGGGCCCGGGGGCCGTCAGGAGACGACTCAGGAGGAACCGCCGGCCTTGGGGAAAGTTGTCGGGACTCCGGGGGACCGCGCACGGAGAAAATCAAGACCTCGCATGTCTGGGATCGGGGAGCCGGACGAACCCTGACGAATGGCAGGCGACGGCGCGGCGGGCGCGCCCCAGGAGCCAAGACCCGAGCTGAACGGCGTTCTGGGGTTATGTTGCTCCAGCCTACTGTAGCCTTGATGACCAGGAAGAATTTCGAGCGCCAGAAACAGTACCGAAACTCAAGTGTTTTCACGCGTCGGGCCCTGGGAGACACTCGCCCGGCACTGTTTCGACACCCTTTTGACACTTTTCAGGGTGCTCGAAATTATTGTTGGGATGTGGTCCTTAAGTAGGATGGGAACAACATAATTCTGGGGATCTCGTGGGCCGCTCTCGTTGTTTTGAGTTCTGCCTGCGGCAGAGGCAGAGCGGAGACAGCACTTGGAGTCGGCTGGGGGCCTGCGATGGCCCAGCACTGGTTCCGGCGAGCAAGTACGGGGGCTTGGCATCGCTCGGACGTGTGTATCTTTCTTTCGGCGAGGACCATTGAGGAGCATCCTTGGTCATTTGGCGAAAAAACCACGCACGGAGCCGAAAAAAAAACACAGGGAATGGACGTCCGAGCGATGGCCAGGGCGGGGGGGAGAAGCCCGAGGCTCTGGGCTCGAGACGGTTTTTGATCTCCTCGTTCGGGAGCCGATCTGAGCGGGTCTGGCCCCAGCCACTCTCCTGACCGATTCTCGGGGGCCCCAGCCGGTTCAGAGCCCCCGGCCGCCCTCCAGGACAGAGCAAGAACGAGCAGCACTGTTGAGCTCGAGCCCTGCGCGGAAGGCCAGCCTCCGGGGCGTCGAAGACACAACAAATCAAGCAAGCGCTGCAGCGCGTGAAGGTATGGGAAGAGATTGCACACGAAGGGGGAGAGGAAGGCCCAAGACAGACTCTAGCCGCCAAAGGTCTTTGGTGTTGGTCCCCCCTTTGCCTCTCGGCGGTGAATAGGACGGGTCCGAAAACCTCTTGCTCCTCCTCCTCTTCCTTCTCCTCCTCCTCCTCCCCCTCCTCCTTGTAGTTGCAATCGTAGTCGTAGCTGTCGTCGTTGTTGCAGTTTGCGCCGCGGAAACACAATCAGATACCCCCTACTGGTGGGAGCCTGGGCCTTCAACAAGGCCGCCGAAATAATATATTGTTACCCTCTGTTGGGGGGTCTCAAGACCTTTCAGGCTTACCTTATGGCAGACAATCCCGTGGAGGCCTGTCCAAGGAGAGTTGTCGGATGGGGTTGTCCAGATCCCCGCCAGGTTGTCTAAGGGGTTGTCCGGGGTAGGTCGTCTTGTCGTCATGAATCAGCGTGGGTTGTCCAGCTTGTCCGAGGGGGTGTCCAGGTATAGAATGGACTTCGGCCCATCCCGCGTGCCTGGGTTGTGGGTATGAAGCCTACTTGATGTTCGTTGGAATCTCGTGGGAGGCATCTCGTGTCTTGGAGGCGGGTGTGTGGGCCGTTTTGAAGCCTTTTGGAGCTTGTTTTGAGGAGCATCTTTGGGACCTCTTGGGGCCTCATGGGGGCCTCTTGGGATTTCCTGGGCGCCTCTGGGGGCCTCCTGGGGGCCTCCTGGGGCGGAAGGCTCGGATTTTCGATTCGTGTTCCTCTCTCTTGGGCTCCTTTCGGGGCCGTTTGGGGTTCTCTTGGGCCGTCTTGAGTACCTTTTGTGCCGTCTTGGGGCCCTCTTGGGCCGTTCTGGAGCCCTCTTCGGGGCCTCTGAGGCCGTCTTTGGGCGATCTTGGGGGCATCTTGGGCCGTCTTGGATCGTCGGAAACCCGGAAAGGCGAGAAAGCCAAAAACCTTCACCTAAGGACTATCCATGATGTTTGCCTCGTGAGTCCCTCTTACTAGGCCTCTTGAAGACCTCTTAGGGCGTCTTGGAGGCCTCTGGAGCGTCTTGGAGCGATCGCTCGGCGATCGGGACCCCTCTTGGACCGTCGTCGGGGCCGCTTGGGGCCCTCTTGGCCCGTCTTGGGGCCTTCTTCTTGGCATCGGTCGGACGTGTGCATTTTTCCTTCGGCGAGGACCATCGAGGAGCATCCTTGATCATTTGGCGAAAAGACCACGCACGACACCGAACAAAAAGACAGGGAATGGACGTCCGAGCGATGGCCAGTCTTGAGCCCGAAAAAATAGAAAGTCCCGCGACAAGGTGCGGGGGAGCCCAGGGGGCACGCGAGGAGCCCCGCCAAATTTGGCAATTTGGGCTCCGGGCCCCTCAAAGACTCCTCGGGAGTGAGGATCGAGGTTGGCCGATCAGGCGGAGGACCTGATGAGATGCCTATGCCATGCCCAGAGGCACGATGGCGGATTCTCGGATCGGTTGAGCGAAGCTAGACAAACACGGGAGATCCTGGAGCTCGTCCCGATTTATTGGCGCCTCCCGCTGGCGCTCAGCATCGGGCGATCCCAGACACGGATCCAAGGGGGCGCGGACCGGCGACGGGCCCCGCACCCGGGGGAGCTCGCGGACTGCCGCCGCCGAGCGAGGCGGCGCCGGCCGCCTTTTAGGGAGGGCACCTCCCACATGCATGGGATTGGCGACCGCGCATGGGCGACCGCACTCCGGATCCGGGCAGGAAGCTGGAGCATATACACTACCATTGGCGGGCTGCTTTTCGATCCCCGGAGTTTTGGAGGGTCAGGGCCTGGACGTCGGGGCGGTGTGGTGTCTACTTCTTTCTCCGCTTTCGGGGATAGCACCGAAAAACATATACGCCAGGATCCCGCATAAACCAGGAGCCGCTGTCCTGCGCAGATTGCTCAGCGCAGGGCTGGCAAGTGTATAGAGTTCGCTCTCCTGCCAGGGATCGCCAGTCTTAAGTTGGGCATGTCCCTCTACGGGGGGAATGTTCAAACATAGTCAAAAATTGTCTGGGGACTACTTGTTCCCTACCTAGGCTCTGCCTAGAAGGGTTCTTACTCGCTTTGCTTAAAGGGGCCGGGCAGTGGGCCCCACCCCGGGCGGTTCCCCCAGGATCCGCCCCGCGGTTCCCCCAGTCCCCTGGGAGCTTCAGTTTTAGCGTTGACTTTAGCCTTAGCTTTAGTTTAACTTTAGCTTAGCTTTAGCTTAGCTTTAGCTTAGCGTTAGCTTAGCTTTAGTTTAACGTTAGCTTAGCTGTATCTTAGCTTTATATTTAGTTTTGGTTTAGCTTAGCTTTAGCTCAACTTTAGCTTAGCTGTACCTCAGCGTCAGCTTAGCTTGCGTTTGGCTTGAACTTAGTTTTAGCTTAGCTTTAGCTTAGCTGTAGCTTAACTTTAGCTTAGTTTCACTGTTACTACTGAGGCTGCTTTCCTAGGGGCTCCAACTCCTAGGTAGGTCGCACTGGGATAATTTTGTATTTTGGACCGTTTTGGAGTATTTCTTGAGTACTTTATTTTTCGTCGAAAATCCCCCTGTAGGGGGCCCGACTTAAACGCCAGTCCGTGCCTGCGCGCCCCCCCGGCAGGAGCTCCCCGCCCCGGGCGCGCCGCAGGCCCGCGCCCGGGCGCCGAGCCCCGGCCGCGCCGCGCTCGCCGCGTGCGCCGCGGGCGCGCTCCTCGTGCCGGCCGCCTGCGCGGCGCTGGCCGTCGGCCTGAAGGACCCTCGGGGAACAAAAAGTGTCATAAGCATGATTATCCCGGCAAAGCAACCTAACAGCGATGTGTAGGAGCATATCTGGAAGCATTTCCCTTAAGATTCAGATGAGAATCCATTTGTAGAATTCTGCTGTTCTCGCAGTCGCAGTCGCATTCGCAATGACCGTCGCAGTGGCAACGGCAGTCGCAGTCACAGCCTCAGCCTCAGCCTGCCTCAGCCTCAGCCTGCCTCAGCCTCAGCCTCAGCCTGCCTCAGCCTCAGCCTCAGCCTGCTTCAGCCTCAGCCTCAGTCTGCCTTCAGCCTCGGCCTCAGCCTGCCTCAGCCTCAGCCTCAGCCTCAGCCTCAGCCTCAGCCTCAGCCTGCCTCAGCCTCAGCCTCAGCCTCTCAGCCTCAGCCTCAGTCTGCCTTCAGCCTCGGCCTCAGCCTCAGCCTGCCTCAGCCTCAGCCTCAGCCTCAGCCTCAGCCTGCCTCAGCATCAGCCTGCCTCAGCCTCAGCCTCAGCCTGCCTCAGCCTCAGCCTCAGCCTGCTTCAGCCTCAGCCTCAGTCTGCCTTCAGCCTCGGCCTCAGCCTCAGCCTGCCTCAGCCTCAGCCTGCCTCAGCCTCAGCCTCAGCCTCAGCCTGCCTCAGCATCAGCCTGCCTCAGCCTCAGCCTCAGCCTGCCTCAGCCTCAGCCTCAGCCTGCTTCAGCCTCAGCCTCAGTCTGCCTTCAGCCTCGGCCTCAGCCTCAGCCTGCCTCAGCCTCAGCCTGCATCAGCCTCAGCCTCAGCCTCAGCCTGCCTCAGCATCAGCCTGCCTCAGCCTCAGCCTCAGCCTGCCTCAGCCTCAGCCTCAGCCTGCTTCAGCCTCAGCCTCAGTCAGCCTTCAGCCTCGGCCTCAGCCTCAGCCTGCCTCAGCCTCAGCCTGCATCAGCCTGAGCCTCAGCCTCAGCCTGCCTCAGCATCAGCCTGCTTCGGCCTCAGCCTCAGCCTCAGCCTGCTTCAGCCTCAGCCTCAGTCTGCCTTCAGCCTCGGCCTCAGCCTCGGCCTCAGCCTCAGCCTGTCTCAGCCTCAGCCTGCCTCAGCCTCTGCCTCAGCCTGCCTCAGCATTCAAAATGTGGCCTGGGAATGGAGTTCTGGGAACTCGAAGAACACGAAGTGGCCTGCAGTTGGCTCCGGGCATTCAAAATCATGCCCAGGAATGGACTTCTGGGAATTCGAAGACCACGAAGTGGCCTACAGTTGGGTCTGGCCATTCAAAATCATGCCCAGGAATGGAGTTCTGGGAAATCGAAGACCACGAAGTGGCCTACAGTTGGCTCCGGGCTTTCAAAATCATGCCCAGGAATGGACTTCTGAGACCTCGAAGACCACGAAGTGGCCTACAGTTGGCTCCGGGCATTCAAAATCATGCCCAGGAATTGAGTTCTGGGAACTCGAAGACCCCTACAGTTGACTCCGGCCGTTCAAAATCATGCCCAGGAATGGACTTCTGGGAACTCGAAGAGCACGAAGTGGCCTACAGTTGGCTCCGGGCATTCAGAATGTGGCGCGGGAATGGAGGTCTGGGACCTCGAAGACCACGAAGTGTGTAACTGTTTGCTTTAAACGACTTCCGCGGATTCTCCCCGGATCCTGACCGGACCCCCCTGGGGAGTCATGATGTTTTTTTTTGAGACCATTAGAAACCTATCAGTACTCGGAGGTCCGCGCGAATTTCTCGGATCGGCGCTGGGGCCCCTGGCGCGCCCCGCGCGCCAGGGAGGGGGGTCTAGCGCCGATCCGAGAAACCCGCGCGGACCTCCGAGTTTTTCTGTTTATGCCACTTTTTGTTAGACGCGACCCGCCGCGCGGGCGAGCTGCGACGGGTCGCGTCTCTCAGGAGCAGAAAAAAATTGGACGACCGAAATGGGTACGGAAAGAATGGGCACACTGCCCGACAGCAGTTCCTGTTCATTTTGAACAGGATTCGCTGCCCACGCCGCCGCGGCCTGTGTCCATTCGAGACAGGTGGCCGCCTGCACAACAGCGGCCGCTGTTGGTTTGGGACAGCATTTGTTGTTGGGCAGTGTGCCCATGCTTTCCGTACCCATTTCGGGCGTCCAAAAAAACACAGACACAATTCATCGTCGATTTCCCAGGATATACGGGAAGATACGAGAGCCCCGAAAAGATTGGATTACTCATTGCGTGGAGCTCCCCATCTGTGCATCCTCGCAGCCAGAAAACGGGCAAACCGCCTGAGACATCCCCGCAAAATGGCCGCGAACGGGCCCATGTTCTACCCCCTGGCGGCTCCCCTTTGGAGTGCTGAAACCAGCGCCCCGCCTGAGACATCCTCAAAATCTGCTCCGAAAGCAAAAGGTGTTGGGCACGGAAACAGGCAAACCGCCTGAGACATCCCGCAAACTGGCCGCGAACGGGCCCGTGAAAACACCCCTGGCGGCTCCCCTTTGGAGTGCTGAAACCAGCGCCCCGCCTGAGACATCCTCAAAATCTGCTCCGAAAGCAAAAGGTGTTGGGCACGGAAACAGGCAAACCGCCTGAGACATTCCCGCAAACTGGCCGCGAACGGGCCCGTGAAAACACCCCTGGCGGCTCCCCTTTGGAGTGCTGAAACCAGCGCCCCGCCTGAGACATCCTCAAAATCTGCTCCGAAAGTAAAGGATGTTGGGCACCGAAACAGGCAAACCGCCTGAGACATCCCCACAAACTGGCCGCGAACGGGCCAGTGAAAACACCCCTGGCGGCTCCCCTTGCGAGTCTGAGTATGAGTAGGTCTCAGTCCGTGCGTTGAGTAACTCAGAGTAGGAGAAGGTCTGAGTATGTGTGGGTCTGAGTATGAATACGTCTGTGTATGAGCAGGTCTGGGAGCGAGTCTCGGTATGAGTAAGTCTGGGTATGAAGGAGTCCCAGCATGAGTAAGTCTGAGTATGAACAAGCCTGAGCAAGTCAGGCCATGAGAAGGTATGAGTATGCGTAGGTCTGAGTATGAGTAAGTCTGTGTTTGAGTAAGTCGGTGTATGAGTACGTCTGGGTATGAGTAAGTATGGGTATGAGTAACTGTGTATGAGTAAGTCTGTGGATGTGTACATCTGGGTATGAGTAAGTCTGAGTATGAGTAGGTCTGAGTATGAGTAGGTCTGAGTATGAGTAAGTCTGTGTACGAGTATGTCTGGGTATGATTAAGTCTGAGTATGAGTAAGTCCGAGAGGAGGGGAGGAGAAGAAGAGGGAGTAGGAGGCGTCCAAGTAATAACAATAACCCCTATCTTAGGAGATAGGGAAACATATGGGGCATCCTGTTATTTGTGTCTGTTTACTTGCGTGTCCCAGGGCCCCTCCAGTCTCGGCCTCCCAGACATGATCGCGTCTCGGCACGAACGACATGGGTACGGAAAGAATGGATACGATGCCCAACAACAGTTCCTGTTTATTTTTAATAGGGCTCGCTGTCCGCGCCACCGCGGCCTGTGTCAATTTGAGAGACAACAGGCCGCCTGCCCAATACGACGGAAGAAGACGACGGGACCGCCCATGGGGGAGGGGACCTGGGGTGGCCCTGGGGTGGCCCACTTTTCCCAAACACACCCCGCCGCAACCCAATTTGCCCCCCCTTGGCTCAGGGATCCGCTTTGGGTTTTTTGTTGAGTGATTCTTTCGGCCTGAAGAGGGTTCCGAGCTGGTTCAGGAGGACGCCCGCTGGCCGCCAAGATGGCCCCTTAGTGGTCCAAGACGCTCCATGTTTCAAGGCGGCCCCCACGGGCCACAAGATGCCCCAGTGGAACTCCCAAAGGCCCTCCCAAATGACCCCAGAGAGCCACAAACGTAAAAGCCATTCAGGTTTCTCTATATTCAGTAAATCTCACGCTCATCTCCTTTGGCTGGCTTCGGGAGAGCTTCACATGGCGCCGAGGCTTGAGACGGCCCCACAACTTCGAAGAAGAGCCCAAGAGAGGCCCAAGCGGGCCCCAAGGCCTTCGAGGCAGCCCAAACAGGAAGATCCACAAGAGACCCGTACATTTCAAGCCAGCCCACTTCATATTGAATATCTTCCCACGCCAGCCCTGAACAGCTCGAAGCCTCCGCATATATAATCCCAAGCAAGAGGAGGCCGTGGATGAGAACGAGAAACGGAAAGCGAGGACAACCGAGAGACTTTGGAGGGTTGACGAGGAAGGACGTACAAGGAATGTTTGAGGACGAGGTAAGGCAAGGCATGCAATGCGCTTGTCCGTCAAGCACACGCAGCTAACAACGCCATGGCATGCGCTAGAACCCAAGCGTGCGCGAAGCGCGCCCGCGGTTCTACATGATATAAATGAATACCGCCCCCCCGGCCCCAGGTCCCACACCTCCCCGCCACATCTCGGGGACGCTCCCGGTACCGCTCCCCCGGCCTTTCCGGGGAGCTTCCACAGCGCCCCAGGAGGGCCCAAGACGCCTCCCAGGAGCCCCCATAATTCGAAAGAATGGTCCAAGACGCTCCCAAGCAGCCCAAGTCAGCCTTCCGACCACTCGAGGCTCCCAGGTGGCCTCCAACAGACCCCAAGAGAGGTCCGATAGGCGTCCCGGGACGGCCCGAAGAGGCCGAAATCGTGGATGTTCATTGGTTTTTGTTCCATGTTTTTGGCTTCTCGCGTTTTCGAGCTTCCAATGGTCCGAGAGCGCCGAAGCGAAGAGGGCTCCCACGACCGCCCCGAGACCACCCAAGAGACCCTCACGACGGCCCCAAGAAGGGCCAAGAAGGCTCCAAGACTGCCGAATAGGCGCCCAGCACAGCCCCAGACCACCCCAGAACAAGCCCAGAATGGGCCCAAGAGCGGGAGCAGGAGGCTTCCAGAGACCTCCGAGAGGCCTCCGGGACCCCTCAGAGCCCCCCAACACCCCCCCGATCCCTGAGAGGCCCAAAGAAGATCCCGACGAGGCTCTAAGACTCTAAGAGCAGCCCAAGAGAGCTGCGAGAGCCGTCCCGAGAGAGCCCATGAGGGTAAAATCGTTGATTTCCCATTGTTTTTTCAGATGTGTTTCGCCTTCTCACGTTTTCCCGCTTCCAACCCTCGAAGTTCAGGGATTTTGAAACAAAACGGAATTCCCAGAATTCAGATTTGTTTCCAAAAGTGAGACTCCGACTCGGGGGTCCCACTTATCCCTTGACATCTGGCCGGTGCCGCGCCTCCCCGCTTCCCGGGTGGAGACCCCAAGACCTCGAAGGACAGTCCATGACGACCTCAAGGAGCCCCCAGAACGTAAAGAACGGCCCAACACGCTCCTGCGCAGCCCGAGACAGCCTTTCGGCGGCTCTCCAAGCCTCCAGGAGACCTCCAGAAGCTCCAGGGGGTCCGGAAGATCCCACACCCCTGAGGTGCCCAGCTAACAAAACCCGCGAGGCACAAACAACAAACAGCGCCGAACAGCGCCGAGGAACTTGAAACACATGGACATCCCACACATGTTTTTTTTCTTTTCAAATTTGGCCCCCGGTCTACTCTTGCACAACAGACCACAATTCAGACCCCCCTCATTTCAAAAAAAAGAAACCCGGAAGCTTTTGAGGGCCCCAATTCTTTGAATACCTAAAGAATTAATGATTTCTGCGTTTCCGCACTTCCCCTTCGGCTTGAGCAGGGCCTCCAAGGGAGTCCCTGGACGCAAGAAGCGACCAAGATGGTATTACAAGAGTTAGCCTATCAAGCCTAGCTGGAACTTGAGCGCGCGCGAAGCGCGCGCGATGGTTCAAGCATGCATATACACACCGCCCGCTGAGGTCCCCGAAAACCGATCCCCATGCTGTAGTTATAGCAAAGGCCCAGCCTCGCAGGCGTGCACGGGGAGTTGGCGCGGGTGGGGTAGGGGGGGGCCGGCGGCTCTAAGTGGGCGGTGGGCTCCTGAGAGAGCAGATGTGAGGCTTCTTAGAAGCAGTCCTGGCTTCTAGTTGGCCTTCCCAGAAGCCTCTGGGCCCTTCTCAGACGCCCCCTGCCCTCTACAGGAATTCGGTGCGATCGAGATGGGTAGGGAAAGACTGGGGACGAAGACTGACAACAGTTCATCTCCATTGTGAACGGGATTGGAGAGGCTTTACGGCCAGTGCTGCCGACCCTGAACGACGACGACGACGACATCGAAGGCGGCAGCAGCGGCGAAGACGACGACGACGAAGACGAAGACGGAGACGGAGACGACGACAACGACGACGAGCACTAGTATCGCGACCACGACCACGACCACGACCACGACCACGACCACGACGACGACGACGACGACGACGACGACGACGACGACGACGACGACGACGACGACGACGACGAGCGCTCTCGGGGGCCTCTTGGGGGTAGTTTTGGGGCCTCTTGGGAGGCTCTTCGGGACCTCTTGGGAGCCTCGTGGGGGCTTCTTGGGGCTTCCTGGGGGTCTCTTGGGGGCCTCTTTGGGCCTCTTGGGCGGCTTCTTGGGGTTACCTGGGGGCCTTCTGGGAGCCTCTCAGGCCGCTCAAAATGTTCGTTCGGGTCCCCCGTCTGGGCTCCCCTTGGAGCCGTGTTGGGGGCCTCTCGTGTTGTCTTGGAGGCCTCCTTGGCGGTCTTGGGGCCCTCTTGGGTCGTTTTCGGGCCCTCTTGGAGGCCTCTTAGGCAATCGTGGTGGCCTCTTGGGCTGTCTTGGAGCGTCGAGAAGCCGACAAGACGAGAACGCCAACATCTTTCAAAAGCTGCAGGAACATATGTGATTTTTGCCCCTGGGGGCCCTCTTGGGAGTGCTGTTGGAGGCCTCTTGAGGCGTTTTGAAAACCTCTTGAGCCGCCTGAAGGCTACTTTGGCGTCTTGGACCGATGATGTTGTGATTCGTGGCCCTCGAGGACTGTCTTGGGGCACTCTTGCCGCGTATTGGGGCTTCTCTGGGCCCCGGAGCCGCCCAGGGGGGATGCGTATCTGGGGGGGCGATGAAGGAGGAGGGCCCAGACGACGACCGACGAGGAGACGACGGGGACGACACGACGCCGACGGCGACCAACGGAAGAGCGTCTTCACGCCGACAGGGTCGGCGGATTTGCTGTCGGTGCCACCGCGGGCCCTGTCCATTTGAGGCAGAAGGCCGCCTGCCCCACAGCGGGCGCTTGGGGTCTCTTCGGAGCGTTCTCGGGGGGCCTCTCGGGGGCAGCTCTGGGGCCTCTCCTGGGAGCCTGCTGGGGGCCTCCTGGGCTCCCCTGGGGGCCTCCCTGGGGGGCCTCCTGGGGGGCCTCCTGGGGGGGGGGGGGCGGGGGGGGAGGGGAGGGCGGCCCTCCAGCGGTCGGTGGCTTGCCCCCTCCCGAGGCGGGCCGCGCCGCCCAGGGATCAGTCAGGAGGGGAAAAAGGACACAGACACAATGAATCGTCGAGCCCCAAGAAAATATATGAAAACACGGGAAGTGGGGGGGAAGCAAAAAAAACAGAAAATATAGGAAAATGTTGGGAATCTTCCTATTTGTGCCTATTTATTTGTGTGTCCCAGGGCCCCTTCAATCAGGGGCGTCCTGGAGGGCCCTGCCCGCGCCGGCCCCCCGGCCTTCCTGCGGGGGCCTGTCCTCCGGGGGCGACGATCGGGGGGGAGAGGCGTGCCCATCGGTTGTTGACAGTACGTGTTTCCTTGGGGTCCCAGAGCCCAGTCTACTTAAGAAGCGCCTTCCTACCTCAATGATCGAATGGCTTCCCCCTTTTCCCTCCTCTTCAGGGGGCGGGCCGAGACCGAGTCTACTTTCAACGCTTTCCTACTTCATTTTTCTACCTACGTCTTCCGACCGATGGGTAGGGGGCGGGCGCGTCTACCCCCAGTCGTCGATGCATCGCCGAGAGGGGCCCGACAGCCCCAACCTGCCCAGGAATGTGCGGAGCCACTAACGGGGCCCTATCGCCGATCTATTTGCGATGTATCGCCGATTCCAGGTCGATGTGCCCCCCCCCTTGCCAGTCCCCCTCTATCGCTGTCCCTCAGGAGGAGGCGGACAGAAACGAGGGAGGAGGAGGAGGAGGAGGAGGAGGAGGAGGCCCAGAGATCCGACGCTCCGACAAAATTTGGAGCGGCGGATCGTGGACCGTTTTCGGCCTCCGGGGGCCCTCGCCGGGCCTCGGGACAGTCAAAAAAACGATCCAGGACGAACAACCGTCCCTAAGGAAGTTGTCCAGACCTCTGGGGCCCACGCATCGAAGCAGGAGAAGCAGGCGGACAGAACAGAGGGAATGACCAAAAGCTGCATAAACACTCATTTTCGACGGTCCGCGCGGAGTTCTTGGGATCGGCCATGGGCCCCACTGGCGCCGCCTCCGACGCCGCCCCTGGCGCGCTCCGCGCGCCAGGTTGGGGGTGGACGGAATTGAGGGAGGAGCAGGCGGAGGAGGAGTGGGTAGCAACTCATGGGAGCCTCGTGTGCCCTCGTGATGTTGTCATGAGACCCTGTGAGAGTCTGTAGGGTGCATCGCTGATGCACCTTGCAGGCGCCCTCGTAATTTGAAGTTCTGGATGGAAGTCAGGGTGGGCCCGCGGTGCAATGAAAATCTGGATCAGACATTTCGTGCACCAAGAGCACCTTGACGCGATGCGAACCAAGAGCCACGGCGACGAGCGACTAAGACGGCCCTCCTGACACCCCTGCGGGCTCCCCTACAGACCTGACCACCCAGACATTCCCAATGCATCAGCATCAACCAGAGTCTGGTAATCGATCAGACAGCGCCGATGCAGCATCGAGTAGCGTCGATCCAGTGTCGACTCGCGTCGGCTAGCGTCGATTTGCACGCGCCAGCAACATGGTGTGGGAGGTCCCCATGCTTTGCCACCGAAGGAGGAGGAGGTGGAGGAGGAGGAGGAGGAGAAGCAGGAGCAGGAGCAGGAGCAGGCGGAGGGTGAGGATATCTTTTCCCTACGAGGACAACCTGCTCCACGCCCTCCTGACTCCGCCTTTCTTCCTCCCCAGCTCTTCTCCGCCCCTACCCCCCTCCAGATTTTCTTGCCCCCTTGCGAGAACTGGCGTGCGTGACAGGGGGGGGGGGGGCGTCACGTCACGATACCCGCTAGCGCCGTTTGGGAATTAGTTCCAACACGGCGCCGTCGCGAATCGTGATGTGACCAGGGGGGGTGGAGGGGCTGGGGCGGGGCCGGTTACGGGCGTTATCGCGACAATGAACAAAGTAGTTCTTGGGATGAAGATCCGGACCTGTGGGGACCCCCTGGGGCGAGGGCCCTTTTCCTTTAGGGTTTTCTCGAAGGAAGACAAAGTACCCCTACCCCCATGGTTGGCGTTTGCTAGACAATCATGGGCGCTGCTAGGCAGCCCTTTCCCTGTTCGACTCCTTCCTTGGGTGCGCTTGATAAGGGGCTATTAGGGTTGTTACTCTGTCCTCTTTCTTCCTCGCGCGCCAAAAGGACGCAGAGCCCGAGCTCAGCGTGAGCTCCATCTGGGCGCCCGACCAGGGCGGTTACTACGAGGACAAGCAGTACGCCAGCGCAGTCTTCGACGACCCCAGGGTTGCGAAGTGGACGGGCGGCTTCGTGACGGGCTTCTTCACGTCGTACCCGAAGAGCGGCGGAACCCACATGACAAAGGTCAAGAGAGTCAAGAGGTCACATACTACAGACTCGGAAACACATAACTCCTTACGCCACACCAGGGCACCAAGAATAGCCGAGAAACAAGCGCAACCTTCCGCACCCGACCCCGTCCGCCTCACCTGACATGCGGTCCAAACGCGCCCCCCCTACAATTCTGCACGGGCTCGGGACGGGGGGGGGGCTAGGGTGATACACTCCTTGAAATAGAAGTTCATTAAGGTGAGTGTGTGGAGGAGCCTGGTTTGGGCGATTCTGCTTGGGACGCCTCAAAATCTGCCTGGTTTGGAGCCTTGCTTGGCTTGGTTTGGCCTGGTTTGGCTTGGTTTGGCGGCGCAAGCCGCTTGAGACATCCTCCGAATTTGATTGGTTTGGCCCCTGGTTTGGCCTGGTTTGAGCCCGGTGTTGCCTGAGACGTCCTCACAATGTGCCTGGTTTGGCCTGGTTTGGGCACGGTTGTGCCTCAGACGTCCTCAGAATTTGCTTGGCTTGGCCTGGTTTGGGCCCGGTTGTGCCTGAGACGTCCTCACAATTCGCTTTGCTTGGTTTGGCCTGGTTTGGATTCGGTTGCGAATGAGACGAGACGTCCTCACAATTTGCCTGGTTTGGCCTGGTTTGGGACCAGTTTTGTTCGAGATGTCCTCGCAATTTATTTGGTTTGGCCTGGTTTTGACTTGGTTTCGCCTGAGACGTCCTCACAATTTTCAGCGACGGGCAGAGGGGGGTGTGGGGAGGGGGGAGGGCTTCTTAGAAGCACACCTGCATCTTAAAAGGCGCGGGTCTTATCTATAGATGTAAGGCCGGCGCCTTCTAAGAAGCAGCCTCCTTGTAAGAAGCCCCCCCCCCCCCCCACTCCCTTGTGCGCGCCGCCAAGATTTGCTTGTTTTGGCCTGGTTTGGGCTCGGTTTTGCCTGAGACGAGACGTCCTCTCAATTTGCCTGATTTGGGCCCGGTTTTGTTCGAGACGTTCTCACAATTTGCTTGGCGTGGCCTGGTTTGGGCTCGGTTTTGGCTGAGACGAGACGTCCTCTCAATTTGCCTGGTTTGGCATGGTCTGGGCCCGGTTTGATTCGAGACGTCCTCGCAATTTGTTTGGTTTGGCCTGGTTTCGGTTCGGTTTCGCCTGAGACGTCCTCACAATTTGCCTGGTTTGGGCTCGGTTTTGCCTGCGACGAGACGTCCTCACAATTTGCCTGGTTTGGGCCCGGTTTTGTTCGAGACGTCCTCGCAATTTACTTGGTTTGGCTTGGTTTGTGCCCGGTTTTGTTCGAGACGTCCTCACAATTTGCCTGGTTTGGCTTGGTTTTTCAATCGGAATTGGGGCGAATCAGACGGCCCAAGCACAAGTAGCCCAAACGGGCGGTTCCCGTCGTCGTCGTCGTGGTCGTCGTTGGCGTCGTCATGGGGGGCCCCGACGCTCCGAGACACATTGTATTTTGTCACATGGCGCAGAGAAATGAAGGAATAATTCGTTCACACACGTGGTGGGCGTATACATTCGAAACGTTATGGCCCCTGGGTGTTCCCAATGCACATTGTGTAGTGTCGATGTGTGTGTGTGTGACAGTGAACTAACATTGCACACACGTCGCGGGTGCAAACAGCGAAACAGGACGGTGTGCATTGAACACACATGCTGGCCCACATTCTGCACTGTTGTGCTACGATATAACCGGGGCAGTGGGTGTGGACATCCAAAGCGCAGAGTGTTCGGACACGGTACCACATAGTGCAACCATCGCTCACACAAAGCCTCCTGTTATGCAGCATTGGACCATGTGGCGGCGCTCGGAGAAAACGATTCCCGGCCTGTAGTATGTGAAAGGAGGGGACGAAGAAATCCATGCACTTATGGAAAAGGAACCCTGGAATTTGTGTAGATTAAAATGTGTCCCCCTGGAGCCCTGTCCAAGGCGTCGCTTATGGAGCTGATTGACAGGCAGAAAGCCGTGGAGAACGCGACTGTGGAGTACAACGGCAACACCTTCACGTACCAGGACGTCTGCTACGGCCAGTTGCAGGAGTCCAAGAAGAAATCCAAACGAACAAGCCACGACTGAAGTTCTGTTGCCGCTTTCGGCTCCCAGGGGCCCTCGCCGTGCCCTGGGGCCTTCAAAAACCGACTCGGGACGAACGAAAAGCCAGCCCTAGGGGGAGGGTCGGGACTTCTGGGGATCGCGTACCGGAAAATTCTTGACGCTTTGCGTATCTTCACCAGCCCATTTTACACCAGGCACTCGAACGAAGAGCGCCGATGATCGGCAGCTGTTCTGCTCCCCTCTTCCTCCTTCTCCTCCGCCTTCTCCTCCTCCTCCTCTCCTCCTCCTCCCTCTCCTCCTCCTCCTCCTCCTCCTCCTCCTCCTCCTCCTCCTCCTCCTCCTCCTCCTCCGCCTCTTCCTCCTCCCTGGTGGCGTATTGGAAGTGTCTTCGAACGTTTTGGTGGGCTCTTGAGCCTTGCGGGCGTGCGGGCGGCGCTCCGCCCGCCCGCGCGCAGGGCCCAAGAGGGGGTCCAAGACGTCTCTCGGAGCCATCTTGGAGGAGATCGATCAACGAAGGGGGGTTCCTAAATTTCAGCCCCCCCCTCAGGATCCACGATCCTCGTGAGGGGTGTCGAATTTTAGCCCTCCCAGGGGTCGATCTTGGACGCTCTGACCGATCGCGGCCCCCCCTGTCCAGGTCAGTGGGGAGGGGGTAGGGGGAGGGGTAAACCCCTCCCCGAAGGGTAAGAAGGAGGGGTGGAAGAGGAAACGCTCTAAACCACCGACGCCCAGAGGGCTGGTGGGATTAAGACCTTGCATTTCATGGGGCTGCATACACACAAACTGTCCTAGGTCCGCGCGGATATCGTAGATCGGCGCTGGGGCCCCTTGACAGCCCTGCCCCTGATACCGCCCCTGGCGCCGCCCCTGGCGCGCTCCGCGCGCCAGGGAGGGGGGCTCAGCGCGGATCTAAGAGATCCTCGCGGACCGCCCTGGGCGTATGCTTATCGTGTCGTTCCGTCCCTTTTAGGAGGGCGTTTACTTGGGCTACACCCTGCCCTGCCGGAAGATCACGGCGGTCCACGCCTACAGGGAGGGGGGCTACGAGATGGACGTCATACCGCGTGCGAACGAGATGTGGTACAGCGACCTGCTCGTCCCCTACGAGGTTCGGAGGAGGGCCGGCCAGTCATCGGACACTGGAGCATATACACATTGCCACTGGCGGGTTGGTTTTTCAATCCTATGACTTTTTCGGGGTCGGGGACGACGTCGGGGTGGTGCGGTGTATACTTATTCCCCGTCTTCCCAGGGAAGCAGTGACAAATGTATGCACCAGGATCCCGTATGCACCAGGAGCCGCTTTCGTGTGCGAATCTCAGTGCGGGGCCGGCAGAAAGCGTCGGTGTATAGAGTTCGGCTCCTTAAGTCAGTTGAGACGACGGTGTCTCTGCCGCACGGCCCAGATCCGTTCAATGTCTGTCCCTGGACCTCTCCATAGGGGAACGAAAAGTGACAGAAGCATAAAAATTCGGAGGTCCGCGCGGATTTCTCGGATCGGCGCTGGACCCCCCTCCCTGGCGCGCGGAGCGCGCCAGGGGCGGCGCCGGAGGCGCCGCCGGGGGGGCCCAGCGCCGATCCGAGAAATCCGCGCGGACCTCCGAGTTTTTATGCGTATTTCAGTGTCCGTTCCCCCCTACTCCAGAGGTCCTTCCAGACCCACTTTGTCCAGGCGCATCTTGCCGTGGCGACGCGAAGCCCAAGTGAAGTCCAAGAAAAAAAAACGTTGGAGAGGGCCGCCGTTATCTCGACCGGCCCTCCTGCGAGAGTCGGGCCGGGCGGAAGGGGGGGATTGGGAAAGGGGGGGTCACGAAATTTGCTGCATGCAGCTGGTTTCGGCCCCACCGAGGGGCCCATTCCTCGATACATGGGCGCCTCCCGGCGCCGGGAGGCGCCGGGAAAATCAGCTACGTGAGCTGATTTCTGGACGCCCGAAATGGGTACGGAAAGAATGGGTACAATGCCCAACAGCAGCTCCTGTTCATTTTGAACAGGGTTCGCTGCCCACGCCGCCGCGGCCTGTGTCCATTTGAACAGAGGGCCGCCTGCCCAACAGCGGCCGCTGTTGGTTTGGGACAACATTTGCTGTTGGGGGCATTGTACCCATTTTTTCGGTATCCATTTCGGGCGTCCAAATGATTCTCAAACCTCCCTTTTGCTATCCCCCCCTTTCGCCCGGCCCGAGAGAGGTGAAGCCGCTGATCAACTACTTCTTCCTGTCCCTTGACTTTCCGCCGTACCTGAACAGCGACACGGCGCCACAGTTCGGGCTGCCTGCCGACTCGGTCTGCATCCCCGCGGGCCTCCCGTGCGATTTGGCTACCTCGCAGGCCGTGTCGTACAAGGCTTACTGTTGCCTGGTCGAGTGCGCGGATGTCTGCGCCGCATCCCGGGCGCAGGCCGTGTCGGCGATAGACCCGACGGTATTCCAGAGCGACGCGGCTTGCATGACATGCATGACGCACGGGCAGCGTTCTTTGTACGAGGGTTTGGAGGACGCCATCGTGACCAGCACCCTCGTCACGGCGGGCATGCCGTACGCGGGAAGCACAACTTCCGACAAAGATGAGTGGATGTATGGTTTGGCTCTCGGTGGGGTGAAGGGCCAGCTCGCCGTCTTGGGGGTCTCGTTCCCTACCGACGACGACTACATCGCTTGGATGTTGGGAAATTTCGGCGTCTCCAAGCAAGCTGCAGACAACATGTTTACTGCTGACGCATCATATTTAGGCCTGGTGAAAGGCGCGCGCAGCATCGAGGCATCTACCAGCACAGGCACGGACTTGCACGTGTGGGCCAGCGGAGACATCTACGGCTGGAGCGAGGGCGCGTACCCGCGGCAGTTGATGATGGGGAAAACGATTCCGGACATTCTGGAGTACGACACAGCCAACCCGCTCACTAGCGTTTTGGCGCTCAAGACGACCTACTTCTTTGAAGTGGCCGACACTTTCAGGGCGAAGGTCGCGAGCCCCTATCGCGCTCAAGGCCCGAGCGGTCACGCCCCTGTCAACATCAGCGTCGACGATGCTTTGGAGGTGGTGGGGCGCTTTAAGAAGCGGATGGAGGAGGCATGGAACTTCGATCGGGGCAGTGATGACCTCAACAAGTATCACTCCTTCACCGAGGCATACCGTGGAACCTTCTGGCGGGGGCTGAAGAGATTCACGGAGGGGTCTGTGGTTCCGTCAGCTCTCAGCTACCTAGCGGTCATTGTTGTTTCCGTCGTGTTAATGTCGTCCTGCCAGCTGACGGAGTCCAAGATGGTGGTAAGCATGATCGGGACAATTTTCTCAGTGGCGGCCTTCTCAGGCGCTCTAGGTATCATCGTGATGGGCGGTTCGACAGTAATGATCAGTTCCGCGTGGACACTCCCTTTCTTGTTGGTCGGCCTCGGGGTGGACGACATGTACGTGATTCTCACGACGCTCACCAAGGAAGGTGGTAACACAGCCGGCGGGTATTTCAGCGCGATGGCCCAGTGCTTGGTCCCAATCACCATGACGAGTCTGACGAATGCCGGCATGTTCGCGATGCTTCTTTTCATCGAGGTGCCCGCGGTCAGAGAGGTCGGCAAGATCGCGGTGCTCGCCATTTGCCTCCAGTACCTCGCGATGGTCACGGCCTTCCCCTGCGTCTGCTATTTCGACATGCTCCGCACGGAGAGCAGGCGGTTGGACTGCATTTGTTGCTTGAAGGGCCGCCGTGGAACAAGTAGGAGGCCACATGCGAACCCTACCCCTGCCCCCCACGATTTCTGAGGGGAAGGGTGGGGGTCACGTCGTTCGGGAGATCCCGAGCGAAGGGAACCCCACCCTCCCCCTCAGAAATCGTGGGGGGTAGGGGTAGGGTTCGCATTTGGCCCCCTAACCAGCTACAAGAACAGCATGTACAACCTGTTCTTCAAGCCCATCCTTGGGACCTTCGTGGGGCGTGCCCTTGTCGTGATGTTGACCTTCGCGCTCGTCGGCGCGGGAGTGTACCCTTAGAGCGTGAATTACTTACCCCGCTTTCGCTTCCAGGCAAAACCAAGTCATACCATGCGCCTCCTCGTCAAGCGGCCTGACCAGTGCAGGCCGAAGTTTGGCATCGCTTGGTATCTCTTGGAAGCGAGTGTGGTCACAAGGGAGGTAGGTTTGTTTGCCCCCTATGTACGGCTCAACGAAATCCGAGATTGGCCTTGACTTGAAGGATTTCTTCCAGCCTGGTACTGACGAGTACGAGTATTTCAACGTTCAGGACATCACAGGAGGAACACGTGACGATGCCGCTGCTCTTCCCTCATTCTCGCCTGTTTGGGCTCCCTGGGATGGTCGTTGCCACGGTTGGATTCGCATCGAACCCCTGGTCAGAATGCACCTTTGGAATGGACCGGGGAGTAGCGGTGTCGATGTCTTTGCGTCCCCCAGGACAAGTATTTTGACGTGTCGTGGCCAGTGACTGTCAATTCTTTACGCTTCGCGTATTCCCACAAGCCTGTGGGTCGTGCCATGGCAGGCACCGAATTCCATGACACTTTGTCTGTGCACGTGCTCGAGCTCTCAGGATGCCCCTTGCCGTCAGCTCCCCTTCAGCGTCGTGGCTGCTTTGTGAGTGGGCCGGCCGGCCTGTGCCCGTTGTAGCTAATTAGCCTCGTTCGCGCCCCGGACTTTGCTTTCGCCGCCTGACCCTTTGTCTCGCGGCCGCGACCAAAAAAGTATTCCCACAAGCCCCGCCATGTTTGATCGTCTCCTAGGCCTGCTGCCTTGCACGGTGGACTGTTTATGCAGGTTCACGCTTCGCCACACTGGTGGCGCGTTACCTCTGGCGCCTGGTGCGACCAGGTTCAATTCATCCTTCCTGGTGGTCTTGCCTCTGGGTTTCCTGCACGCTCGCATAGCTCCCCTGGCAGCCCTTGCAGCCTCAGCCCTCGGCGCAGCTCAGCGCCCCTCGGCGGTAGCTCTGCAGCCGCCAGCGCGCGCGTTAGGTTTAATTCGGTTCGTTCGTTGCCCGAGTCGACTTGTGACGCCGCTGTGCGCCTTCGCCTGCGGCTGCGACAAAAAATCCTACCAGCTCATCCTGAAACGATGCCCATGAGAGTTCAGTTTCGTGTTCGGGCGTGCGGGCGAGGCGAAGCTGCGTGGGCGCGCGAGAGGAATGATCCTGCCGTCGCTAGGGCGATTGGGATGCAAAAGTGCAGCCCTTCGGTGGGCGCGCGGTGGCTGGGGGTGTCCCGCCGTGGTGTCTCGCGGTGTCCCGAAGGTGTCCCGCGGTGTCTCGCCGTGGGCGCGCGAGAGGATTTATTCCGCTGTCGCTATGGCGATTCGGATACAAAAGTCTGATCCCGCAGTGAGCGCGCGGTTGCTGGGGGTGTCCCGCCGTGGTTTCCCGCGTTGTCCCGATGGTGTCCCGCGTTGTCCCGCCGTGCTGTTCCGATGGTGTCTCATGGTGTTCTGTGGTTTCCCGCGGTGTCCCGGTGGTGTTCCGTGTTGTCCCGGGGTGTCCAGTGGTGTCCCGGGGTGTCCCGCCGTGGTGTCCCGATGGTGCCCCGATCCTTGTTGAGATCGACAGTCAGATCGATAACGACCGAGATGTGGTGAGGTTGGATCGACAGTGAGGTCGATAGTGAGATTGGTAATTGCATCGATCGTGCGAGCGGCAGTGAGATCGATAGTGAGATCGACCGTTGCATCGATAGTGAGGTCGATAGCGCGATCGAGTGCGAGCTCGACAGTTCGATCGATAGTGGGATCGATTGTGAGCTCGATTGTGAGATCGATTGCGATCGCCGCAGAGATCGAATGTGAACTCGATAGTAGGACCTGTCGAATGAGATCGATGGTACGATCGAACATCATCACACCCAGCATCGTCATCATCAAACCCATCGCAGTTCCCCGCAGTTGGGTCTTTCCCCTCCCCCCAAACTCCTTATCACCCACATTGTGGTCGTACAGGTACGGAACAGTGGCCACAGGTGTGGCCACAAAGGCCGCCAGCTCCAGACATATGTAGTTTTATCGAAGGCCTTTTGCTGCAGCACAGAACTATTCCCAACCTTCCTGTGTTGGGTTCTCGCTTGGAACAGAGAGTAGAGCGCATTTGACCCCACCTCCTCTCCTCCTCCCCCTCCTCCCCCTCCTCCCCCTCCTCCTCCTCCTCCTCCTCCTCCTCCTCCTCCTCCTCCTCCTCCTCCTCCTCCTCCTCCTCCTCCTCCTCCTCCTCCCCTTGCGTCCAGCGTCCCTCCTGCCTCCGCACTCCTTGCTGGCTTCTCCTGCGCTGCTCCTTGGGTGGCTGCGAACTGCGCGACTGTCGCCACGTTCGTGGTCTCCTGGCAGGCACGGCTGAGTCGCGGAGTACGCATACCCAGCCGCGACCTCACAGCTCCTTTGGGGTGCGGGGGGTGCGACCTGCGCAACCGTGGCCACGTTCGTCAGCTCCTTCTGGGCGGCAAAGCGGAGTCGCGGAATACGCGCACCCAGCCGAGACGTCGCCTTTTTGGGGGGGTTTGCGGGCTGCGCAATTGTCGCAACGCGGGTTCTTGGGAGGTTCGGCGGGGTCGCGGAATACGCGCACCCAGCCGAGACTTCGCAGTTGTTTTTGGGGGGGAGGGGGGGGAGGATTGCGTACGTTCGTGGGCCTTTGGGGGGCGGCACAGCGCAGTCGCGGCAGAAACACACCCATCCGAGGCTTCCCAGCTCGTTTGTGGTTGCGAACCGCACAAATGTCGCCACGTACGTGGGCTCTTGTAAGGCTCGGCGGCATCGCGAGTACCCGCACCCAGCCGAGATGGTGCAGTCCTTTGGGCGTGTTGCGAACTGCCCAACGTTGGCCACGTTCGTGGGCTCCTGGCAGGCTCGGCGGAGTCGCGGAGTGCGCGCGCCGAGCCGATACCTCGCAGCTCTTGGGGGGGGGGACTGCGTAAGTGTCGCTACTCTCGTAGGCTCCCAGGGGGCGGCACGGCGGGGTCGCAGAGCACGCGCACCCAGCCGAGACGTCGCGTCTCTTTGGGGGGGTTGCGATGTGCGTGACGGTCGCCACTGTCGGGGTTCCCCAAGGGCAAACTTGAGTCGCGGGGTATGCGCAATTCTCAGTGGTTTCGTTGGCTCTTGGGAGGTCCAGCGGAGGCGGGGCCTCGCGCACCCCCTCCTCCTCCCTGTCCTCCTCCTCCTCTTCTTTGGCCTCATTATCATCCTCCATCTCCTCACCCCCCTGGAAAGGTGGGCTTGGGGGGGGAAGGGTGGGCAGACGAGGTGAGCGGACGGGGGTGGTGGTGGGGGCGAGGAGGTGGGGTGGAGGGGAGGGGGAGGTGAGGGACTGGGAGGGGCCCTGGCTGGTCCCGCGAGCGTGGATGAAACTACGGGGCTCCAACGTCGACCGTCAGGACGACTAGCGTTACGATGGGGACGTTGACGAACGTTATGGCAACGACGAGCGTTACAACGACGAGTGTTACGACGACGAGGGCGACGGGCGTTACGGCGATGACGGCGACGACCGTTACGACGGCGACGGGTGTTTCGACGACGATGGCGACGAGCGTTACGATGATGATGGCGACGAGTGTTACGAGCACGACGAGTCTTGTGACAACGAGGGCGGCAAGCATTACGATGACGAGACCGAGCGTTACGCCGACGACGAGTGCTACGACGACGCGGGCGACGAGCCTTTCGACGACGAAGGCGGCGAGCGCGATGCTGATGGCAACGAGCATTAGGACGACGATGGCGACGAGGAGTACGACGACGGCGGCGAGCCTTTCGCCGTCGACGAGGGAACGCCTCCACAAGGTACGTAACGAGGGAGGGGGAGCTGAGGTTGGGATGGGGAACGTCGTCAAAGGCTTGGTAGCTCTGTTGGCAGCTTCCCTGCAGCGCGGAACTGCTGTCGTGTGGGTTTCACCATTCGGTGTGCGTTGCTCACTGCTTGTCGAACCCGCTTCGTACGCCATTTGCAGCGTACGCTGCGTGGTAGGGATTTGCCAACAGTGTCCAACGGTAGGAGGAGAAGGAGGGACGCTGCGTGGTAGGGACGCTGCGTGGAAGGAGGAGAAGGAGGGGGGGCGCGTCCGACGCCCCACCGCCAGGGGAGTGGGAGGCTGTCCCGCTGAGTGAGGTGGGGGGCACCGGTCCCGCGTCTGGGTCGCCCGAGGGCCTCCGATGGGGCTCAGAGAACACGATCGGCAGAGTCCTGCAATGGGCGGAACGCTAGCCCGATATTCATAGATCGGCTGGCGTGATCGTCTTGGTTTCATCGCGGGGGGTTCTTCGGGGGGGTAGAGGGGAGGACGAGGAGGAGAAGGAGGCAAAGAAGGAGGCAATGGAGGATGATGAAAAGGAGGAGGAGGAGACGGAGGAGGGTGGAACGCTACAAGCTCAGAACTTCAAGTTTGCCTAACATCATGGAGGAGGAGGTGGAGGAAGTGGAGGAGGAGGAGCGAAGATCGGGTTTCTGGTGGACGTGTATGTTTTTTGGAGGGGGGCTTGCTGGGGCCTCGTCGTCCACTGCGGCTGGGTGTGCCTTACACGTTTGCGAAGGTTCTGCGCTTCGCCGACGCATTCCCCGAGCTCCGACGCTCCGAACAAAAATTTGAGCGGGCGGTCCTGGGCTGCGTTCGGCCTCCGAAGGGGCCTGGCCGGGCCCCGGGGACCGTCAAGAGACGACCTGGGACGAAAAGTGGGCCCTATAGGGAGGTGGTCTGGACCTGCAGGGCCCACGCCTGAAAAAAATCGGAGCAGCCTGCTGTCTGGGTGCGTCGCGCTCGTTTCAGCCGCCATCGTGCTCGTCGCATTCGCCGTCGCATTCGCCGTGGCATCGCTCGGACGTGTGCATGTTTCCTTCGGCGGGGACCATCGAGGAGCATCCTTGATCATGTGGCGAAAAAGCCACGCGCGAAACCGATAAAATCACAGGGAATGGACGTCCGAGCGATGGCCAGGTTCGTCGCACTCGTTTCAGCCGCCATCGTGCTCGTCGCATTCGCCGTCGCACTCGTCACACTCGCCGTCGTGCTCGTCGGGCCGCTTCGGTCTGGCCAGTTCGGGTCGGGGGTCGGGCCAGATTCGGGTCGAGGACTGGCCTCTGCCGTCCTTCTCTGGGCGGTTTCGGTTCGCAGTTTCCGATGGGCTCTGGTGGCTTCGCGCAACGTCTCTGTTTGGTTCGGCTCGGTTCGGGGGGCGGGTCGGCCTGGTTCAGAGTCCCAAACATAGCCAGTGCGGTTCGGTTCGGGCGTCAATAAAAATGAACGGTTCGGTTAGGTACGGTTCGCGTTCAGACAAACACCGTTTTGCGCCGGTTCGTCTCGGCTTGGTTCGGTTTGGCCGGTTCGGTTCGATTACGGAATTTCTTTGTCAACCAGATGACATGTGTTTCGCATATTGAGCAACGTGAACGCAACCATGAGCAGAGGTCGTTCGCGCACACATTCCGTGGAATTGATAGGGAGTACGGCGCGGCGGTGCCCTCGTTTGTCTGGGCTTGCCTTTGGAGGCGGGGCTGGAGAAACGATATAACAACGCAGATGCCATCATAACATAATCATGTTGATACATGGTGTCACTACGTGGCGCACGTATGCATGGGGGCCGCAGGTTCATCTGACTGGTGATACGGTTTCAGAAATGTACTATTTCAAGCACCGGGTGCACTGCGCGCTGCGATGGGCGCTGCGCCTTTGAGGATGCGACCACGTCGCTCGGAACAATCGCACCGTGGCCCATGTGAAGAAATAGGTGGGCGCATAGGACGTGCAGATGGCACGTTGCCAGAACACATACAAGTAAACGATTTGGCAACGAATGGGCGCATGTTAAATTCATTACCCAAGCGCTAACCACATACAACGTTAGGAAGAGCAGGACAAACACGCGGCTGGAACATCGCAGCGATACAAGCAGAGTATCTGGCTAGCTCGTGGCATTGTCTTCGCACACTTTGAGGCAATGTTCTCTTTATATCCTTATTCTTCCCCATTCAACCTTTTGAAGGCTTCGAGTTTCGAGGGCGCTTGGAGCTGTCTTGGGGTCTGTCGGAAGTCTGTCTGAGGCGATCACGAAATCTGTCCCGCTATGTTGAACCATCTTGGAGGCCATCTTGGAGTGTCGGAGGCCGTCTTGAAGCCATCTTGGGCCCTAACGGGCCGCCTGCCACTTCGTGCTCCCCACCTGGCTCCTTCACTCCGGGCTAGGGGTAGGCCCCTCCGCGAATAGGGGGAAAAGTGGTGCCAAAAGAAGGAGCGACATAACCGTCAGACCACACCTGCGGCCAGAGGGCTGGTGGGATTTTGGGAAATTGGAGTACACGGACCCCGGGGTCCAGCTACACATGTTGCAGATTTACGAGAATTTGATCGCCACTCAGTACATGACCAAGGTTCCCTCGGACACCTTGTGGACGGCGAGCCTGGCTGCCTGGGGCACCGTTGACTGCATGAGAGTTGGAAGGGCAGAGAGGTGCGGCTACGACGTGGAGTTTGACTGCAAGGCCACCTGGGTGGAAAACACAATGGGCCTCAAGCTCTGGACTGCGCCGAGCAGGGATGGCCGGGGTGTGTGCAGGCTCGGGTCCGACATCGCTATGCTTCCCGACGAGTTGTCGCCATACGACGACAACACTGAGTATTGCCCTGTCTTCCAATGGAACGAAACCAAGTTGGCGTCGTGCATCGTTGCCTGGCAAAGCGGCGGCGTCTCCAGCGTGTCTACAGGGACTCCCAGGGATGTTGCGGATGATACGACGGTGCTGCTCCCAATCAAGACGAGCTCTTCCAGTGGAGGGGGCGACCTGTTCAACGTCAACATCAGGGGCAGCGAAGGCTACGTGGATTGCATAAAAGCAACCCGCAGATACTGCGACGACGACACCACGAACGGCATGCATTGCTGGTTGCAGGGGATCTCCTACGACTACTGGGAGCAGTACCTGGACCTGTACGCGACCTTCGGCAGAGTTGTCGGCCTCGCTGTGGCCGCCGGTTTCCTGATCTCGTTCGGCTTCCTGTTGTGCAGCTTTGTGGGCGACGGGACGCTGCGGGCGAGCGCCGTGCGCAAGTTCCTCGCCGCCCTCTGCGGCGCCCTGATCATCGTGCTGGTATGCCTGACGTCGATCGTGACGGTCTTCTCGGGGGGCACAACACTGGCACAACATACAGTCGGCGCGGATTAGTAGGTCGACCCTGCCAAATCAAGGGTATTCTTGTGTCCTGTGTCTCGCGACCCATGCTTCTTCCATTCCTGTGGCCATGTGGCCCTCGGAAGGGTCTTGTGTCCTCTCGCGTGCCCTGTCCAACCAAGTCCGCCTGTAGCTCGTCGGGGGTCCGCGCGGATGTCCTGGGCCGGCGCTGCGCGCCTCCTCCCGGAGGAGCACGCTGGAGGCGCCGCCAGGGGGGTCCAGCTCCGGTCCGAGGACTGCGCGCGGAGCTCAGACAAGAGACGTGTTACCAGCCTGGAGCATATCCTTATCCCTGTGCCGGGCACCTCATCACGATGCCAATCTTGGGGATTCCCTTATATTTTTGAGGGCGAATATCCCTAAGAATGTCATCGCCCTTTGGCGTGTCGATCTCAGGGATAGGGATACGTTCGAGGCTGGTAAGTGTGTGTGTGCTGTTCTTTGCTCCTCGACCTTCGGGATCTCCTCCCTCGCCGGCGTGCCGTTCTCCGTGCTCTCCCTCACGGGCTACCTCACGGCCACCTCGGGGGAGGGTCGGCCGAGACAGCGGCGGCCGTCCTCCTGCGGGCGGCCCCTCAAGGAGGAGGAGGAGGAGGAGGAGGAGGAGGAGGAGGAGGAGGAGGAGGAGGAGGGAGGAGGGAGGAGGAGGAGGAGGAGGAGGAGGAGGAGGAGGAGGAGGAGGGAGGAGGAGGAGGAGCCCCCAGTGCCGCGGGCTGCACCTCAGAAGCAGTCTGCGTGCCGCGGGCTGCACCTCAGTCAGGGGGGAGGGGACAGGGAAAGGGGGAGTTGCCAAATCTGCTGCATGCAGCTGTCGGGTATAGCCAGGACCCCGGGTAAGGGGACCCGATTAGTGCTAGGGCCCTGGGGCTCTTCAATTGGCCAGATTCACTAAACCAGGTTTGCCGTAGTTGGTGTTTTTCGGGTGACGGCAGTTCCGGTTAGTGGAAATGGGACGGGGGGGCGCCCCCGGTACAAATCTTTAAACCAGGTTCCATTCAACCCAGTTCTGCAATTTCCCGAAGCTGGTTTCGGCCCCGCTGCTGGATCCATTCCTCGATACATGGGCGCCGGGAGGCGCTGGGAAAATTAGCTACGTGAGCTGGTTCTCAAGCCCCCGCTTTGCTATTCTCAAGCCCCCGCTTTGCTATACCCCCTTTCGCCCGGCCCGAGTAGGGGCAGGGTAGACAGGACACATGGGTCCCAATGGATGCCTTCGCTTCGGTACGGTGGACCTACCGATCCGAGCCAGCTGTGCTTTTGTGGTCAGGATGGGGTCAGGCTGTCGGGCCGTTCCTCGGACCCAGGTCGGGGAACCTGTTCGTGGCCGAGGCTCGCCGTGGCCAGAGAAGCCCCCTTCGTCCCTTACGATGCGTTCCTTGTGCTAGCACGTTTGCTGTGCACCCCCTGGGGGCTACCTGGACGCGCCCCATACCGAAGATGGACGCCCCCCCCCTCGCACATCCCCGAACTGGGTCCCAAAACTAGATGACCTGATCCAGTTGGACATCCCACAAAGTCGCCATAGACCCAGTTCTTCCCCGTCGAGCCCTCATCCGTTCAGAATCGGTCACTGGACCCCTGATCCAGCCGTGGCGACGAGAAGCCTTCAGCAGGCCCAAATGAGGAGACGCGCTAGGCAGGGCCGCCGCTGTCTCGAGTGCCCTCGTCCGACCATCGGCTTCTCAGTCGAGTTTGCGGTGCACATCGTCCACCGGTTCATGACGGCGCCGAAGGTCAGTGGCGCCGACAGGGGGTAGGGTTGGATCCAGGGGGGGACACGACCCCCCATCGTCCATTTCTCGCTGACCGGGGGTTCTGCGTGCCCAAGCCTGCCCTGGAACGCGCGGTTTTTCTCAAGCGAGGGCCTATCCTACCGGCGGTGCTTCGTCGATTACAGGCCATTCTTCCCACCTTGGAGCAAGTCCTCCTGTGGGGCCAGGGCTGCAGTACATCTTTCCAGAGCGTTCCGGAACGCGCTCGGACGAGCGCTCGGTAATGGCCGCGGCGCCCGAGATACATCAGGTCCTCGATTCGTCTCGTTTTTTTTTGTGTTTATATATATATATATATATCGTGGGCCTGGCTTCTTTTTATCGGTACACTCGATGTGTGTGCGTGTGCGTGTGTGAGATGGATGGGGACGAAGATTAGCAACAGTTCCTGTCCATTTCAGCCAAGACGATGAAATAAGGACCACCTTGAGCTCGGGACGGGCTCTCGTTTTCAGGCCGTTAGATCCACGTAGAGGAACCTCTTCGTGGCCCATGCTCACTGTGGCCAGACAAGCCCCTTTGTCCATTATGTAATGGCCGTTGGCCCATCCGGCCATCTTGCCTGGGTTGTGGGTCAAACTCCTCGGGGCAGCTTCTTGGGGTCTCTTCGGAGGGCTCTCGACGGCCTCTGGGGGGCAGTTGTGGAGCCTCTTGGAAGCCTCTGGATGGTCTCTCTTGTGAGCCTCTTGGGGGCCTCTTGGGGGCCGTCTCCCCTTCCAGAGGTTCCCGACCTCTTTTCTATATCGTTTTTCCTCTTCTTCCTCTCGATGCCCTCCTTGACTTCTTCCTCTCTCTTTCTCTCTCTCTCTCTATCAATCTCCTTTCCCAGATTCCAAGATATGTATGTATGCTGTTTTGTTATGTTGACCTATTCCTCTCTTTCTCTCTCTCTCTCTCACTCTCTCTCTCTCTCTTTCCCTCTTTCTTCATCTTCATCTCTATCTGTTGAACCGCCCCTGCAAAGAGAAAGAGGCGGGGAGCGTTGGAGCCCCTCTAAATCAAGCTTCGTTTTCAAAGATGCTGGTTAAAGGAAGCAGCTCGTAGAAGAGAACGGGAACATGAGGAGGGGAAACAAGACGAGAGGGGAAACGAGAGAGAGCGAGAGGAGAGTAGGGAGGAGGAGCAAGAGGAAAAGATGGAGAGAGGAAAATAGAGGAGGAGGGAGGAGGATCCAATTCTAATCGGATTATATTAGAGGTGGATCCGAATGTAATGGGATTCTACTAGAGGTGGACCCAGATGTAATAGGTCTCTATGAGAAGTGGATCCATTTGTAATGATATTCTATTAGAGGTGAATATATATATATATATATGTAATTTGGTTCTATTAGAGGTGGATCCATCTTTAAACGGATTCCATTACATGTGGACCCATCTCTAATCGGATTCCGTTAGAGCTGAAACCATCTGCAATAGGATTCTATTAGAGGTGGATCATAGGATTCTATGAGGGATGGATCAATCTCCAATCGGAATCCATTAGATCTGGATCCATCTGGAAGTGGATCCTATTAGAAGTGAGCCCATCTGTACTGGGATCCCATTAGGAGTGCGTCCATCTCTAATGCGATAAAATTCAAGGTGGATGCATGTTTAATCGGCTATCACTATAGCGGTGGATCCATCTGTACTAGGTGCCCATTCGAAGTGGATCCATCTCTGCTGGGATTCCAGCAGAGGTGGACCCATATGTAGTAGGATCGCATTAGATGTGGACCCATCCCTGATACGACTCCAGTCGAGGTGGATCTCACTCTGATAGAATCCCAGTCTGGATGGAGCCATCTCTAAAGGGATACGAATAGAAGTGGACCCATCCCGGATATGATTATATTAGAGGTTCACCCTTATGTAATAGGATTGTATGGGCAGTGGATCCATCTTCAATAGGATTCCATGAGAGATGGACCCATCTCTTATCAGATTCAACTAGAGGTGGGTCCATGTGTAGTAGGATTCTGGTAGAGGTGGACCCATCCCTGTAAGGATTCCACGTGCGGTGGCTCCATCTGTAATAGGTTTCGATGTAAAATGGGCCCATATCTGATAGGATGCCATTAGTTGTAGATCCAGCTGTAATCGATTCCATGGTAGATGGGCTCATATGTAGCAGGTTCCTGTTCAAGGTGGACCCATATGTAGTATAATCCTATTAGAGGGGTTCCATCTGTATCAGGATTATTTTAGAGGAGTACCCATTTGTAGTAGGGTTATACTTGAGGTGGCCCCCTTTGTAATAGGATGCCATTAGAGGTGAATCCATATGTACTAGGGTTGTTTGAGAGGTGGGCCCACTACTATCAGGAGTCCATCAGACGTGGATACATGGCTAATCGGGTTCCCCATCCCCAATAGGATTCTGCCCGAGGTGGACGCATATGCAACATGATTATATTAGAGGTGGGATAATCTGCCACAGGGCTCTATGATAGGTGGATCCATCTGTAGTCGGATCTCAGTAGAGGTGGATCCATCTCCAATCGGATTCTATATGAGGTGGAGCCGTCTCTACTAGGATTCCATCCGAGGTGGACCCATGTGTAATAGGTTTCTATTCGATCGGGATCAATCTCTAATCGCATTCCATTTGGGATGGAACCATATGTGCCTGGATCCCATTAAAGAAGCATCCATCTCTAACTGGATCGCATCATATGCGGATCCTCGCTAACAGGAGTCAATTAGCGGTGTATCCATATGTAATATGATTTGATATTACGTGGGTCTTTCTGTAAGAGGATTCTAATAGACGGGCCCATCCGTGGCAGGACTCCATTAGAGGTTGATCCATCTCTAATGGGATTCCATTAGTTGTGGATCCATCTCTACCGGGATTCGATTCGAGGTGGGTCCGTATGCCATAGGATCATATCAGAGGTGGCTCCATCTGTAGTAGCATTGAATTCGGAGCGGATCCATTCGTAATCGGACACAATTGATGTGGACCCATATGTAGCGCGGCTCTATTAGAGGTGGATCCATCTGCAACGCGGTTCTACTCAAGGTCGGCCCATGTGTAACTAGACTGTACTACGGGTGGATACATATGTAATAGGAGTCCATTAGAGGTGGGCCCATCTCCAATAGGATCCCAGTAGAGGCGGATCCATTCCTCATCGGGTTCCATTAAAGGTGGATCCGTATGTCGTAAGATTATACGAGAGGTGGGTCCGCATGCCATGGCTATTAGAGGTGGACCCATCTGCAATGAGATTATACCAGAGGTGGCTCCATTTGTAACGCGATTCGATTAAAAGGTGGGCCCGTCTCTAAACGGATTCCATTACATGTGGATCCTTCTCTACTTGGGTCCTATCAGAGGTGGACTTGTCGCTAATAGGACCCCATCAGGAGTGGATCCATCCTTAATAGGATCCCACGAGAGATGCATCCACCTTTGAGTGGTATCCATTAGAGCTGAATCCATATCTAATAGGATGTTGTCAGAAGTGGACCCATGTGTATTAGGATCCCATTCGAGTTGGTGGGATCCATCTCTAATGATATTCAATCAGAGGTGGATCCATTTCTAACCGGCTTCCGTTAGAGGTGGATCTATGTGTAATAAGTTTCCATTCGAATTGGGCCCATCTCTGTTAGAATTCTATTAGAGGCGGGCCCATGTGTAGTAGGATTCGATCAGAGGTGGACCCACTTCTGATGGGACTCCATTCGAGGTGGATCTCATCCTGATAGGATCCCATTCGGGATGGATCCATCTCGAATCGGATCCCCTTAGAGGTGGATCCATGTGTAATAGGAGCCTATCAGAGGTGGACCCACTTGTAGTAATACTAAGTTAGAGGTGGATCCATATGTAGTAGGGTTCTAGTGGAGGTGGACCCATTTGTGGTAGGATCCTCGCTGGGATGGGTCCATCTGTTGCATTTTTTTTAGAGGTGGAACCATATGTAGCTGGATTCTATGAGAGGCGGATCCATCCAATAACGTTTTTTATTGGATATGGTGAGAACCATCCACAATATTAATCCAAGTGTAATCCCTTTCGAAAGGAACCCGATTGAATCCTCCACAAAAGGATCAATTGTAATCCCACGCACAAAAAATATGGTAACGCACCACAGAAGGAAACCTTTTTGCGGTGGTCAGCAAAAGTGGGGACCTCCGAGGGGGAAAAACTACGAACGAAAAACATACATTTTGTTTGTACTTTGTTTTTCTCCCCCCGCCGACATTTTTTTGTTCCCCTCTGAGGTCCCCAGTGTTGCTGGCCGCCACAAAAGGATTCCGTTCATGGCGCATTACAGTACAGTTCCTTCTGCACAGGATTCCAATCGGACCCCGCCTTGGAAAGGACTGAAGCCCAGGGTTCTCTTTTGGCTGTTTACCGCGGGTTTCAACGATTGTAGGGCCGGCGAAATTATTTGCGATAAATATCGAGGTCGCGACGGCGAAATTATGTTTGAAGATGTCTCGAGCGAAGCGTTTCCCCCCCCCCCCGAATGTGTTGAGGATGTCTCGAGCGAAACGCTTGTTTTGTAGTATATGTTGGCCTCCCGTTTTTCATTTTTCGTCGAAAATCCCCTTGTAGGGGGACAGGCCCGACTGAAAGCTAGCAGCTACCATCTGCTCAGGCAGCTCGAGCTTAAGATCAGGATCAGTTGGGTCAGGACTCGATACAAGGAGGACTCGATCCACAACGCTATATATAGAGCACAATCGCGGCATGGCACATCGCAATTCAGCACGGCGCAGCGCGGCACAGCCGTCGGCACGGTCCATCAAGATCGATACATTCAACATTGCAGTTTGGCACGTTCCTTGGCGCGTTCCGTGGCGAGTCCCCTTGGCACGTCGCCCGGCGCGTCCCCATGGCACGTCCCCTGGCACGTCGCCTGGCGCGTCCTCCTGGCATGTCCCCTCTGTCGATTAGTCCTGGGGCAGCTACCATGTGCTCAGGCAGTTCGAGCTGAAGATCCAGATCAGTTCGGTCAGGACTCGGATGCAAAGGAGGACTCGGTCCATAACGCTATTGTAGTGGCATCCGGCCAGTGCCGCCGATCTGGGGCGCTCCCGATGCTGATGGGAATGGATGGCCGTGTATACTGAAGATACAGCGTTCCTTCGAGACATCCTCATCAGATAAACATATGGAAATCGGTTGCGAAGCCCCCCCCCCCGCTCCCTGCAGAGCGCTCAAGTCCACGGCGCCCGACCTTTGAATGGCGTCGGGAATGGCGCCGGGAATGGCGGCAACTCCCGAGCAATGAATGGCGTCGGGAATGGCGTCCCCCCCCCCCTGCAGAGCGAACTCCCCCCCGGCCCCCGAGCAATGGCGTCGGGAATAGCGTCCTCCCCCTCCCCCCCTTGCAGAACGAACCCCCCCCGGCTCCCGAGCACTGAATGGCGTCGGGAATGGCGTCCCCCCCTCCCCCCCTTGCAGAGCGAACTCGCCCTCTGGCCCCCGAGCATTGAATGGCGTCGGGAATGGCGTCCCCCCCCCCCCTTGCAGAGCGAACTCCCCCCCCGGTTCCCGAGCACTGAATGGCGTCGGGAATGGCGTCCCCTCCCTCCCCCCTTGCAGAGCGAACCCCCCCCCGGCTCCCGAGCACTGAATGGCGTCGGGAATGTCGCCCACCCCCTTGCAGAGCGAAGCTTGAGCGAGCTCAAGTTCACGCTGGATCGGCGGATATATATATATATATATATATATATATAGAGCTCAATCGCGGCATGGCACATCGCAATTCAGCACGGCGCAGCACAGCACAGCCCTCGGCACGGTAAATCAAGGTCGATACATTCAGCATTACATTTGCCCGTCGCCGAATCAGGTATTTTTGAAACGTTGCCATGCCTTATATTTCTGTATTCCTTTCCGGGTTCGTGGTTCGATCATGTGTTTGCTCTGTGCTTGTTTTGCGACATTACGTCATGAGACACTCCGTGCATCCGTACACTCCGAATGGTTCCATGCCCTTCTCCTTTCCTTCCTCCTCTTTTATGTTGCGACATGTCGGGAACGTTATACTATCCCGCTGGAACCCCGAACTTCCCTTCGGTTCGGTCCTTTGTTTTCGGGGCTATCTCGGGACATGTGGGTAGCCTCGTCTGGGACGTCTGCAAACAAGATCCCGGATCCCCAATGCTTTTGGCCCTCCTTATTTTGGTCCCCTCCCAAAGATTTAGGGGTACTGCTGTTGCTTCTATCACTTAGAATCCGAAGCCCCGCCCCGTCTGGCTCCCCTCAGCAGGGCACGGCGGGGCGGCGCGTCGAGCACACCATGGAGCTGCTAAGCTTGCCCATGGGCTGCGGCTTTCTCGCCTCCGCCGTGGGGCTTCTGTGCATGCTGTCGTCCGAGGTCCAGATGGTGCGCAGGGTCTTCTTCGTGCCCCTCATCACCGTCCAGGCAAGCGACGCGAAAAATAGGTCGCGAGATCCGAGCCCTAACCTCGCCGATCCATTCAGGCAACTCGATGGGCGGCGGGGTAGGGCTCGGAATTCGTCGAACACTTGGCGAAAATCCGAACCCTACTCCCTCCTCTCATCGATTCAGGAGAATCGAAGGTTGGTGGGTGTAGGGTTCGGATGTCACCACGTTGCAATCGGGCGGAGTGAGTCCCAGCCATGCTCGCGCCGTGGAAGAAAATTAACGACGGGAGGTTTCTGGCTGCTTTGGAGCTTCCAGGGGTCCTCATCGGGCCCCAGACACGTCAAACAGCGATTCGGGATGAAAAGCAGGTCCTGGGAAAAGGTCGGAAGCCTGTTTGGAAAGCGTTGAGACATCGCATGCCTGGGGTCGTGCCCGTCCTGGCATGATGACTCTATGTGAGATTTGTTTCAGCGGCGGTGCCAGTATACCAGTTGTCGAAAATTGGGATCATCCGGTACAGTTTTTGTTTAGTCACATGATGAAGCCCTTTTCTTCTGCCCAATCGCGTCCAGTAGTGGTTTTAATATGAGCAAATCCCGCTCAAAGGTATTTTCATTGGTCCTCATCGCTTTTCGTCGTTCCCACGAAGACCTCCCAGGAGTTGCCTCCCAACTCCGAGACCGGCCGGGCCCACCCTGGTCCTGGGATCGGCGTACATGCCCCAAGGGCCAAGCTGGGAGGTCAAGTGCACCGATCCTGGGCCCCAGGTGGGCCTGGCCAGTATCGGGGCGTGCGCGCACCGAGAGATCCGATGTATGTGTATACCTGGCATCGCTCGGACGTGTGCATTCTTTCTCGGCGAGAACCACTGAGGACGATCCTGGACCATCGAGCAAAGAAAACACGCGCGAAACCGACAAATGCGCGGGAAATGGACGTCCGAGCGATGGCGAGATTATATGGATCTGATCCCAAAATGAAGTCCCTGGAAGTCCGACCCTTTCCCCGGGCTGGCTCTTCGTCCTCAGTCGTCTGCGCGCGGGCTGCCCCCCCTCTTGGGGCCCGCGCTCGTCGGGCGCCCGCTTCTCCGCGGCAGGGGCCCGAGCGCAGGCCGCCCAGATCTGGCGGCGCGCAGGGGGGGGGCGGCGGCGCCGGGGGGGGCAGCCTTCTGCACCACCCACCAGACCAGCCCAACCCAACCCGAGGGCCTCCATTTTCAGGAGGAGACAAAACACGCAGACACAATTCATCGTCGGTTCCCCGGAACATGTGCAAAAGATGGGCAGTGGGGGGAAGACAGAAACCCAGCAAAGATCGGAAAATATGGGGGATCCTTTTATTTGTGTGTATTTATTTGCATGCCCCAGGGCCCTTTCAAATTTGACCTCCATGTCCAGTGGATGGGCTCGAGGAATCTTGAAAAAACACATATGGAACCTGTACCCCCACCCAATACCCGAAATTCGAGCGAAAGTCGGGTCTTCGGGTTGGGTTGGGGTGGTCTGGTAATTAGTCACTTCTGTCGATCCAGGCCTCCCAGGTGGGGTCCTGGTAGATGAGGTCGGAGGATCGCTCCGCATCGCCGATGCAGTGGCGATGCGGCTCGATGTGGAGCCCGATGTTCTGCACACCGACGTCGCCGATGCATCGGCGTTGTTGCCGATACATCGCCGATGCATCGGCGATGCATCGGCAATGCGGTGCAATCTTGCGACCCCCCCTTCTGCTCCAACCCCATCTCAGAGGCCTCTAGTCGAACAGCAAAATAGAAGGCGTCGGAGGTCCGTGCGGATTCTCCGCCCCTTGCCGTCGTGGCTCCCCAGATGGGTTTGCTTCTTGCGTACTCATAGGTTTTCGGAGGTCTGGGCGGATCTCGTGTATCGGCACTAGGCCCCCCTGTCGGCGTCTCTGGTACCGCCCCTGGCGCGCTCCGCGCGCCAGGGAGGGGGGCAGAGAGCAGATCCAAGGAACATCGGCGCGGAATTCCGAAAGACTACGGCTACGCTGCTTCTTGTTCAATCGCTTCGCTCATTCCGCCGGCCCTGGAGCGCTCTTGGGGGCCTCTTGGGGGCCTCTTGGGGCCTTTTGGGGGGCTCGTGGGGGCCTCTTGGGGCGGGAGTGGGAGGTAGTCGATTGCGGCTCCTCCCTCGGAGGGTACTTTTCGTCCGGGGGCCCCCAGGGGCCGCCCCGCGCGCGCGAACTAGAAATATCGTTAACAAGTTGCCAGGGGTCTTAGCACGCCTCTGGCCCGTTGGGCTTGCGAATTTGTCGCTTGTGAGAAAGAAGAGTGCGGGGCTTCTTAGACCAAGCAGTAGCGAAGCGTCCTGGCTCGCCTATAGCCCTACCAAACAATGTTCTAATAATCGTTTGTGGTTTCCGCGAAATGTTCTTAGAACATTTCTGGCGGAGTCTGTATTGTTTTGTCAAACAGGGCTTATGTTCTAAGAACATTGCTTTTGTTATTAGAACACTGTTGGGTTCTAAGAACATTTCGTGGTAGGACTATAGGAATGCCGGGACGGTCGGTCCCTGCTCAATTGGAAGGCGGGGGGCCTTCATTGAAAGCCCCACGGGGGCATCTCAAAAGGGTTTTCCAGAAGCCAGGCGGACTCACGCAGGCGACCCCCTCTTCTTCTCAGGAGCCGCCTCCTCTGCCGAGAAGGCCACCCGTCTCTCCCCCTTCTCCCCCCCCATTTCTCTCGGTATCGCTCGGACGTGTGCACTTTATCTCGGCGGGGATTACTGAGGAGCGTCCTGGATCATCTTGCGAAAATAACCACGCACGAGACCGAACAACTCACAGAGAGTGGACGTCCGAGCGATGGCCAGTTCTACGATCCGCTAAAACATGGGGCAAGCATACCAGCTCGGACGAGACCCTGACGCCCCCTTCCTAGAAGGCGAGGGGTTCCTTCTCCGAGAAAAAGGGTTCGTTCTCCGGGAAAAAAGGGTTCGTTATCCGGGTGTACTACCGAATATTTAAAGATTCTTGGGATCCTTTGGAAAAAGGGTTCGTTCTCAGGGTGAGACCTCATCGCGGATCCTCGCACTTCTGTCAAAACTGACTTTCGCAAATCGCAATGAGCTCACCTGAAGTAAGGCGCCACCGAGATTGCCCATCAGTCTGGCTTCTTTTGCCCGGAGAAGGAATTCTTGCTGGTAATATTGTTAAGCTACATGTGGTGACCAAGTTGGTAGTAGTTCGTAGCTAGTAGCTCGTAGTTAGGAGTTCGTAGCTAGTACGTAGTAGTTGGTACCTTGTGGTGAATAGTGGTCCGAACGTAATGAACAATATTTCCCAACCATCCTGTTGTGTTAGGTCCTTGTTTTGAAGAGACAGCGCCCCGCGTCCCACCCTCCTCCTCCTCCCCCTCCCCCTCCCCGTCCTTGCCTCTGCTCTCGGCACACCTCTCACACGTTTCGTAGCCCCATAGGGAGCTCCACCGAAGGCCCCAGTGGCTGCGCTCGCATGCGGTTCCCCCACCAAGAGCAGCGTTTCGTGGCCCCATAGGGAGCTCCACCGAAGGCCCCAGTGGCTGCTCTCGTATGCGGTTCCCCCACCCAGGGCAGCGTTTCGTGGCCCCATAGGGAGCTCCACCGAAGGCCCCAGTGGCTGCTCTCGCATGCGGTTCCCCTACCCAGGGCCGCGCTTCGTGGCAACATAGGGAGCTCCACCGAAGGCCCCAGTGGCTGCTCTGGCATGCGGCTCCCCCACCCAGGGCAGCGCTTCGTGACCCCATGAGGAACCCCACAGAAGGCCCCAGTTGCTGTTTTCGCATGCGCTTCCCCCACCCAGGGCAGCGTTTCGTGGCCCCATAGGGAGCTCCACCGAAGGCCCCAGTGGCTGCTCTCGCACGCGGTTCCCCCACCCAGGGAAGCGTTTCGTGGCCCCATAGGGAGCTCCACCGAAGGCCCCAGTGGCTGCTCTCGCATGCGGTTCCCCCCACCCAGGGCCGCGTTTCGTGGCACCATAGGGAGCTCCACCGAAAGGCCCCAGTGGCTGCTCTCGCATGCGGTTCTCCCGCCAAGGGCAACGTTTTGTGGCCCCATAATGAGTTCCACCGAAGGCCCCAGTGGCTGCTCTCGCATGTGGTTCCCCCACCAAGGGCAGCGCTCCGTGGCCCCATAGGGAGCTCCACCGAAGGCCCCCGTGGCGCAGTTCGCATGCGTCTCCCCCACCCAGGGCAGCGTTTCGTGGCCCCATAGGGAGCTCCACCGAAACCCCCAGTTGCTGTTTTCGCAGGCGCTTCCCCCGCCCAGGGCAGCGCTTCGTGGCCCCATAGGAAGCTCCACCGAAGGCCCGCCCCAGTGGTGCAGTTCGCATGCGGCTCCCCCACCCAAGGCCGCGTTTCGTGGCCTTATTTAGAACCCACCGGAAGCGGTATTCACCACGCGTTACGAACATTTGCTTATGGTTGGGCCCTTCGCCAGGGTAAGTTGTTAGAAGCTCGTCGCATGTAGTCAGTAGTTACTAGCTAGTAGATTGTAGGTCGCACGTAGTAGCTAGTGGTTTGTAGTACGTACTTCATTATGATAGTAACAGCAATCGTAGTAGTAGTAGTAGTAGTAGTAGTAGTAGTAGTAGTAGAAGTAGAAGTAGTAGTAGTAGTAGTAGTAGTAGTAGTAGTAGTCGTAGTCGTAGTCGTAGTCGTAGTCGTAGTCGTAGTCGTAGTCGTAGTCGTAGTCGTAGTAGTAGTAGTAGTCGTAGTAGTAGTAGTAGTAGTAGTAGTAGTAGTAGTAGTAGTAGTAGTAGTAGTAGTAGTAGTAGTAGTAGTAGTAGCAGTAGCAGTAGCGTAGTAGCAAGTAGTAGTAGAGTAGTAGCAGTAGCAGTAGCAGTAGCAGTAGCAGTAGTAGAGTAGTATAAGTAGTAGTAGCAGAGAGTTTTTAGTATTGTAGCAGTAGTAGAGTAGTAGTAGTAGTAGTAGTAGTAGTAGTAGTAGTAGTAGTAGTAGTAGTAGTAGTAGTAGTAGTAGTAGTAGTAGTCGTAGTCGTAGTCGTAGTCGTAGTCGTAGTCGTAGTCGTAGTCGTAGTCGTAG